AAAGAGAGGAGATCAACAATGGGAAGTAACTTCCACGCTTGTTTTCCTCTTCATCATACAGATCGAAGGTATCTCAGGAGATTCTCCCGCATGTCGCATCCACGAGACTTCATCAGGTCGAAGTTCCATCTGCTCCCTCCAACGCTGACGGCTTAGCTTCATGCTGGATCCAGTTTCCTGGAAGTAAGGCCCTTTGTAAGGTGCCTTCATGAGACAGTGGATCGACTCATATGCATACAATCGTAAGTACTCTTCTCTTCAAGTGAACCACTGCTCCCAACCTGGAACTGCACGAATGGCCTTGGCGTCAATCATCTTCTCAACTACCGGTGCGCGGTAGATATGCCCAGTTGCTGGAACAACGTACACGCATAATGATGGGAAGAAGATCAATGACCTCTTGTTGGGGGGAAGCTTCCGCGAGAAGTCCTTGATGACATGTACATCTTGTACGTGTAGCCTACGCGTTGGAGTCTCGTGATATGGCAAAGTCATCCACAGAAGGACAGTCGATCCAAGCGTAGAGGTTGTATGCAGCGAAATAGTGGGACAGGCCACTGTTAACCGTGCCTTGAACATGGTAAACGACTTCCCATCCAATCAACAACAAGATTGTAAAAGACAACACCAAGTGCTTGACATGTCGTTGGGTCTTGTACTCACGAGAACTTTCTTTGCCTTCAACCACAGTAAAAGCAGGGGCAACTCAGTCTCTTCGATGGCCGTTGACTTCAACCCTTCTCCTTTCACCTAATACTTTGCGTCAGGCTTCACTGTCTCTCCGTCGCGAAAGCCACCACCCATGGGCAGGACCTTGGGAAGAGCAACAATACTCATCAATCAAGCATCAGTAGCAAAATCAAGGCAGCTCCTCTATCATAGTATTCACCTCTGGATAGCGCGGTTCATGGTGTAAAGCTTGTAAGTACACAACGGGAAATGGCGCAAAACAGTGTCAAATGAAGCTTATCTTTTTTGGTTCTTTGTTTTTTCAAGTTCAGCAAGTGATTCCCTTTCGAGCGTGCATACACCCTGATTTCGATATCTTTCACCGATGGAGATAACAGTTTCGGCTGCTCAACTATTCCAACACAACAAAAACTACCTTGACCCTACCGACAATGGAGAACAGAATCGGCATGGCAACTCTCCAATGACATGATACCAAGTCACTATACATTGTTGAGTACGGTGCATCTACATGCTGAGAAAGAAACATAAAATATTGGCTGTCCTATCGAGCAAAAGTCCATCCCGCAACGGGGATAACTCATTGGAATGGGCAGTTTTCGATGAGCCGACGACAGTTACAGTGGGTGAACACACAACAACACATTTTATGTTTCTTTCAGGTCATACAGATAGAGCATTGTCTACTCTATAAGATGGTATATCACAACCTATACGGGCATTGGGGTATTGGACGGGAACGAATTGCTCTAAGGTACCCTCTCAATAGGGTTCTCTCACTTTTCTTATCGTGATAATGCTAGTAAACGTTGCATGTTTCACGCTTTTAAGATAACACCCCGTGGTTCATCAACTCCTTCACTGATATCAATGAAGTAACAATCACGAACATGGGCAATCCAGTTCTTGTGAACACTCACAATTTCCCTGTCATCCTCCAAGATAGTAAAGTCATGTTCAAGGATTGATCCATTGATGACCCAGTTTGTGTCACCACGAACCTTGACAACAAAGTTGTCACGGACAAGACCAACCACCTTCTTCTTGATCTCAGCAACCTTGTGAACGTCTGCATCCTCAACTGCCGTGGCATCACGGGCTCTCATCTTCCGTTCCTGAATCTGATACAAGGTTTCACGATCGCTAGTTTGAAGGTTGAAGGTTTCACGAAGGCGCAACACCTTGTTGTTGGCAATGAATGCGGCCTCACCGCAACCACGGCGACGATGCATTCTGTTGATGTTAAAGTCATCACCAATGTCAAGAAGCAACTTCTCACGCATTGCATATGTCTTGGGACCTTCATCTTCTTCCTCTTCTCCATTGCGTTCTTCACGGCGCTCATGGCGGCGTTCTTGACGTGCTTGCATGCGATCACGGATACCCATTTTGTTTGTTTGGTGGTTATTTTCAGGTTGTTGTTTTGCTGCTTTGATTTGCTGTTTTTTGTTTTGTGAGCTCTTTCACACCATGAAGCAAAGCGAAGGATGCTTTTTGGTTTTCGGCTTGTTGCACCAAGGTTGATCTTTCGAAACTTCCTCGGTCAATCGGGTCCCCCCAAAAATGTGACTGTGGCGTGTCCATTGGCTTCCAAGCTAGCGGGAACGCCTTGCGTGCGTGAGAGGCCCCGATCAGCTAACAGGAACAGCAAAACATTTGGTAGATGGGGAAACAAAAGTGGTTTCGTTATGTGACACTTATTCCGAAGATTTGTACAATATTTACCACATCTACAAAACGACCAAAGCCATCTTCCCGCAGGGTTACTCGGCATTTTGTCTATTTAAGGCTATTGTATCTGATTACAGAGTTGCCTAAATGTTCTATGCTCCTTTGTAAAAGTGGCTTATGTCTCACAATGTCTACGGATGTCTCACAATGTCTCACAATGTCTCACAACGATAAAATGTGGGTTGGATCCATGGGATCAACGTGGTGAGTGTGAGAACAAACTGTCTGCCTTATGTTACTGGTACCCACATGGTATGTGGAACAATCAAAGATATAGAGAATCTTGGTTGGTACTGGTGAGACACAAACCACCCAACACTACCAGGAGGTTTCAACCCAAGCAAGACAGGGATGCCTACAAGGAGTTGACCAGGACCAAGCATTTCACCAACTGGTTTGTCCACACAAGTGTGACCTTGCGGGCACAAGAGCCTCAGTGTGGCTCAGAGTGATCAAATCCTGCATAACACCCAATTATTTGGATGCATGCTTTTTGCTCATAGTCCTAAGAATTGAATGTATGAATTGAATACCATCTCCATAGACCTGTAGCTCCCTTGTTCCTTTGCAGTAGATACCTATCTTGTTGAGGCTGAGCAGTGGCATTGAGAGGTAAGCTGATAGCATTCGCTAGGCTGCCCAGCATCGTGATAGAATAACATCGGTACCAGCTCCAGGAGCTGGAAACTCTGTAAGCAGAGGAGGCCCTGTGGCCATCCTCATCTCTTGTGGATCTACCCTGATCCTTTCAAGAAGTTATTGCATTGCTCTTGGCATTCCAATCCCATTGAACGAACAAGAAGCGAGGGACATGTCGTTCAAGCTCATTGAGCTGTACGGCTTCAAATCACACGATACCGAAAACTTCAGTACAATCAACAGAGAATTAAGTTTGTACGAACAGCAACGCAGAGCTGTTCACTACATGGGCGAGTGTGCCTATGGACTTTGCATGGCTAACGACCAAAATCTGTCTAGCAACCCTGGATGGGAGCAGGCACTAAAGTATTATGGAGCTTAGATGTTACCGGTAACTGGTAGGTTGACAGTAATTATATTAACATTATTGTCTTGTTATCTAGATAGGTTGCATTAATATCTGAGCTACTACTAGCTAGCTAGCTACAGATAGAATGCTGCATGAAAAAACGTCCCGGAAAGTTCTTAAAACCAGGGTCCAAATACGTCATTATGTATCTTAAAAACAAGGTTTACTATAATACAAGTTAGCTTTCTGCGGTGGGGCAAAAAGAATCCACCCTGTACAGGAATGTTGAGAATTCTCAACTAAATCGGCGGAGTAGCAGGGGTTTTAGTCAAGTCGAGCGCGAGTCGAGTCGGGATCGGGACTTGCTGCTTGTTCGGACGACGGACAAACGTCAAAACAAAAACGGACAACGGTCAGACGTCAACGCGACACATTTCTGTACCCGGCAGACATGCCGTCTTTGCGATATTTCATCTTCGAGCGCACAGAAGGAATCGAGCACAGCAACAAAAAGGATTGCACAACGACCAATACCGGTAGTGGCAACAAGCAACGATAGATGTAAGGGTGAGAAGCGACCACAATGGCAACCGATCCGCCCACCGTTCCTGGCAGGGTTCCCCCCGGCCATGTACTCAAAGACGCTGAAAACGCCCCTTCCGTAGAGGACAGCCGACAGCAGGAAGCAGCCTCTGCCACCGCTCAATCGGATTCAGATGAACAGCCTTCTGCCTCGCTGAAACCCGCTGCTGTCGTCTTGGAATCAGAGCCCAAACAAATGACACAGCAGCCCTCTGACACCAGTACTGGTAAGACAACAGAAGCAGCAGCATGTGAGGCGCCTGCAAGTGGCAGCAAGGACCAATTTCCATTTGATAGAAGTTTGTTGCAACTTTCGGAAAGAGAACTACAAAGAGCCTTGGGGTTGAAGGGATCGTTCCGACGCCTCCGCGATCTCGATAATCTTTCAGACTTCATGTACGCCCACCTAGCCATTGCCGCCAAGGATGATTTGGAATGGGCCATCGACAGGGCTTACAAAATGCAACGAGTCCGCAGTGAATACAGTATTCTTGGAACGTATGAAGACGGAGTCCAGGCAATCCGTGCCTTTATGGATTTTGCACCCAAAACTCTCATGTCTTTTACGTTCAACCCCCACACTGGAAAATCTGTTCTCGTCATTGATGGTGTGGTGCCTCTGCAGGAACTTTGGCGAGAACCAAAGAATGTGAACATTACCATTCGTGGTTGTTTCTACCTATGCTATGCCACATTTCCTACCCTACAATGTGTGCGTGTTGGCAACACACATGTTTTTGAGTTGGAAGGCCACAGTTGGGGGAAGGGTGTGATGCAGGCCAAGAATTTTGTCAAGCTGACCAACCACACACACGGGGCGTTTCCTTCTGTGATAAAAGAGACACGCTTCTACAATACACCCTCGGTTGCCAACATGTTTTTCACCATGGTGAATAAATTCATTCCACAAGAAGTGTCAGACAGACACAAAGTGGGCTGCAAGTTTTCAGGAGGTAGACTGTCCAATTTCTACATGGTGCCTACACCTGAAGAAGCCTCCCAACGGACTTTTTTGAACATCTGCATCGGCCTCAAGATTAGGATGGAATCTGAAAAGGCATTTTCTCTGGATGATTTCAAACCTCCAGCTAAAGAGGGCTCTGAGACTCTTGGGAATCCGGAGCGCCTGTTGTGCTGGTACAGTGTGGAGAACAAGGAAAGAGTGGAGAACGAGAAAAGGACGAAGACTACTAACTGATAGCCACAGAGTTTTTCTTATACAAACAAACAAGGCACTTGATCGGTGGGAACTGTAGGAGCAGTCCATTGAGCCGATGCAACCCTGATATCGCGTACCGTACTGTACCGTATTAGCATTGAGCGAGGAACGTGAGAATGCTGAACGTTGCAATGTGGCAACTATCTAGCTACTCATTTATGTCTCCGTGGCTGGATCCCGCAAGCCAAACCCTTTGGAAAATATGGGAGTCCGTATTGCGAGTTCGTAGTGATGTTGAGCGCGATTCTGCGACTGCACTCGTTTTCGATGTATATGAAGGTCATCTGTATCTGCTAATGAATTATCACTACAAGATGAGTCGAGTCGAGGAAATATATTCTATATTGAGTTCTGCGCCTCCGACAACCAATTTCTGGAGGTTGACTTCTTTGAGTTTGAAGACTTCCGAGACTTTTGCTGAATCAGAAGAATGTGACTTTGCCATCAGGATGGTGTCACTCGACTCAGCAATATGGGATTGTGGGAAAGGAATTGCAGGTCGAAAACCAGTAGTGCAGCCGCCGAACAAGCGAGCACGCCGAACAGCAAACCAAAAGGACAAAGTGCTCAAGGCAGAAGTCATATGCAAAACACCGTCGTTTAGCTATGAAGGCGTGCATCTATTTGAGCGTGTAAGGGTTTTTGGTCTCCCCCCCAATGCAGTTGGTGGACGTTGGGTGGCAGAAACGCAGGTCCAGAGTCTGGGTTACCGTTGTTCCTATGTACATGCCTTGAGTGCTCCAGGAGGTTCCGGTGGTGCCGTTCTTGCGACGACCAACGGTCTTGTTGTGGGTTTTGTGGGTGGTGCCAATGACTACCACAATCAAAAACCCAAGCAGCTGTCTTCCTTCGACACGTATGTCATGAATACGCATTCTCTCCCACGACGGCCATCCTCTGCACTGAACTGAACTAAGCTCCATAACGCCGTGTGTCATGAGGCTGTTCCAAGATACGGAGACAAAATTCCACCGGCCAAGCTTCATTACTTGGTCTGTCCATTCGCTCATTTCCTCTCGTAAGATCCTCCTGGATTTACAATGGATTGTCGTCTTTTTCTTCCCATCTTCAATCCAGATCATCCAATCCAGAAGTACCTTCCACCACTGGCTCTTCCTCCTCCCCTTCTTCACCATTGCCATTGTCGGGTGGGTTCGTAAACTCTTCTCCTAGAAATGCTTCGACTGAGGCTGGACTAGTATCATATGCCGGTGGTGGCCGGTCAGGAGGGACAAATGCAGGATTCATCTCTTGTGGCGGCTGACCAAACGCCGCAGAAGGTACACTTTGCCGTGCCGCTGCAGCATCTGCCGCCGCCGCTTCTTCTCGTGCGGCCCTCCGAGCGGCTTTTCTAGCACGTCGTTCCTCTTTGGCTGCCTGTGTTTCATTTTCGCGTGCTTTTCGTTTCATTTCTCGCTGTGCTGCCGCCAATGTTTGCCCCGTCCATTTTTCCAATTGACTGCCTAGAAAGCGCAATCCCCATGACACGAGCATGGGTCCCACGTTGAATCCATATCGTGACATGGGACCCGACGCCACTTCACCACCCATGAATTTCGCCGGATGAATGGGTAGTGGGGGCATGGGAAAGAAATATTTGGATGTCATGACCCACGAGAGTAGAATGGACGCTGACAACCAGACCGACAATCCATCCACAAGGAACATCAACACAATTCCCAGTAACCCAAGTGCAGATTGGAGTTCCATACAGCGTCGTACTTCGAGTCGTTTGCGATCCGTATACACGACAAAATTGACGGCGGCCACTTCGTATGCGTGACTGAGGAGTGGCCAACACATGGCGACACTCACGGACAACAGAGCCGCCAGAATGCCCCGCCACACCAACACTCGTTTTTGTTGATCCAGTTTCTTTTCTCGAATCTTGTGTTCTTCAAATGCCAATGCGTGGATCAGTTCTTGCTTGTCTAGCATGCGACCCACTTCGTCGGCCCCATAGCCGTGCGTTCGTTGCAACCGTCGTTTAATGTCTCGCACTCGCATGTCGCCAATCTCTTGGACCGTCAATGTCTTGCCGACTGCAATAGTGCCATCGTCAGCATCGTCACCCTCCATGTTGCCGGCAATGTAATCCAGCCAATCCCATCCGGATGCTTGTACTGTCGGGAACAACAGGAATGATACGCAGCAAATCAAAAAGAGGGCATATCGTCGTTGGCGGCAGAAAACCCTCATGCTCGTGACGTTCTCTCGAGAGAAAGGAAATGCAAACGGTCAACGGAGCAATCAATCCTCTAGAGCTGCCTATAGACGTCCTTTACTGAATACGTAGTAGGAAGGTACCGCAGTTGAGGATGATCGCAGATAGTCTAGAGGTAACTTACTTGTGATGGTCAATCCCAAAAACTTGAGGTGTGGGTGGTTTTGATGGGTGGAAGCCAGAATGACGTCAGATGTTACAGCCAGCAAGGCTGAAGAGAGGCTCCGCTTTGGGGTCCCTTCACCTCCTCCAAACCGTCGAAAACTGAAACATCTCTGTGGGTGGATGCAATCATTTGAATTAGTATAGAAAAAGGTTGGCAGTAGATTCCAAATTCATAGTTGTACATATCTATTTCTGACATGGATACCGTAGTACTACGGTATGGTATTGAAATGGAGCGTTCCCGATGGCCACTACAGTATCTATTTATTTATTATGATGTTGGCTCTTGAGAAGTGTAAGACTTTGGGATCATGGAAATACCATCAGGACCAACGCTGCTGTTTCTACGCTTACAAAACAAAAACATCCTGTCTAACAGGACAAGATCTGGTCAAAGCAAAGCTGCATGCTAACTAACTTGAGATCGATTCCCTTCCAACGCAATCACTGTTCGTGCCATGCCATGCTCAGTGCGTCTTGTCGCATCAAATGGCTGGCTGGCTTCTACGAAAACATTCCCGCCAACAGTTTGATGATTTGATACAACCAAAAGCATTGTAGCGAACCCAGTACCACGTCCAATCCCAGAAAGAGACGTAGTACAAATGTCTTGCCCGGTCGCAGTTGTTCCGCTTGTCCCGTAGCCATGACATGCCGACAATCCCTCCACAAGGGGAAACTGTAATAGATCCATCCCACAATGCGATAGGCGGTAAAGGAAAGAACAAACATGCCTTGGCAAGCCAGCACCCATGTATCCACCATACTGTTATTGCCGGGTAGAAAAAAGTCTACCGGATCAATGAAAATGAGAAAAATCGAAGAGACTTCGGAACAACCTCCGTAAAAGATGGAATAGTAGGGCATCATTTGATATTCCAAAGAACAGTAGGCGGTAATCATGGCGAGTACATGATGGAGGAGGAATACGGGGTCGAGATGTTCGGGAATGGTAATGGAAACGACAAAATCCCAGACTTGATAACAGAAAATCACCACATTCAGATAATCGGCGGCTGGGAGACGTCCAAAGAGACGATCTTGTGGCGTTTTCATGTGTTTCAGTTGCTGGTTGGAAGAAAAGTGCCAATGGTACGCTCCCATGAATCCCATGGTGGCCATGGCCAGAAAGGATGTCACTTTGTAGGCTACCAAATCAGGACGGTAACATTCCATTCCGGGAACAAAACCGTCTTGTTGGTCTTGACAGAGACTTTCATGCAAAGGAATGGGAGGATTCCAATGGTAGACACAGCCATAACAGACAGACAAAGCCAGCAATCCACCTTCGATCCATCGTCGGTATCGTTCGAATCCAGATGGAGGCATGACTTGTTGTTCAAGTTCTTTGTTGGCAACACCATCGTTGTTGTGGTCCATGGAGGATGCTGTGGTGGCACTGCTCGGTACGACCGAAGGATTGCACATGGTGGCTGGATCAGGTTACTTATTACTTGTTTGGGACAGAAAATTGGTTCTCAGTTAGTTTGTAGGAGCAACGGCAACTGACTGTTTGGATTTATCAATTCGATTCTGTTTTGCTACAGAAGCTTCTGGAAATGTTGAAGTTTTATCTGTCGCGTTTATCAATTGCAGCAAAAAGTGAGTATTCTAAATATAATTTACTGGGATTGACAGAGACAAGCCTTCAGGCTGGAGTTCTGGTGCCGAGTGGCATCGACGTCAAAGGAGTGACGCCACTCTCATTCATGTGAGACTTCGAGAATCCTAATTGTCCCCCCGCTCGCCTGAATAAAAGAAGAAGTGTGCGATCTTTGCTTTCGGATTTGCCGTTAGTTTTATTGGTCGGAGGTGCCAATGACAGAGGAACGTCCAAACAAGAGACAGCTGAAACACCATCCGACGAGTGCCGACAATGGCATGCTACTTACCCATGTTGTCTCATCTTTTTGCACAATTTGATGAGAAAGAGAGTGCATTACACTCCAAACACGTGCACTTTTCATTTGACTCCAACTCTTCAAAGTCCTTTTTCTTTCGCATTCATCCAGTTTATGGATCGCGCACCCTCCTTGCTGAAATTTTGGCGTTCACTGTACACCTACTCCAACTACGATAGCAAATTCTATCGTAGCTAGCTAGCCAGACCATGTTCCTCTCTTCGACATCTCGAGCTGCCAACAAGCAGATCTCATCATTGTCGTCAACACGGAGAAACAACAACAACGTGGAGGACAAGATGAGACAGCCAGTGTCTCCTTCGGAAGGAGGGCCAGTGATCAAGTTTATGGACGATCATCACCACGATGAAGAAAAGAAGGAAGATGAAACGGACGCCTTTCTACCCAAAAAGAAGCAGAGCTCAGCATTGACGGATAAGACCAATGATATTAATAATGACCAATCCTACAGCAGCAAGGACAAACAGCCCAAACCAACCACCAACTTTTTAACGTTTTGTCAAAACAAAATAGTCAAGCAAACTCTGACAATCATGGCCTCTCTCATGGCTGTTCTCTTTCTGTTAAAGACCATATCTCCATCCACATCAACCTTCCAAAACAGTAATGATACAACAAAATCCTACGCTTACTACACACATCCCAATTCTCGCATCAACAACCGCCACAAAAGCAGCAACAAGCAGCCATTTATTTCCTGGGAAATGCAAGCACACATTCCGTACAAACCCACCTACCAGGAAACCTTTAATCAAGCCTACCGATGCAATCCCGGTGGCTACATGGACCGGGTTCCACTGCGACCCGAACTGGAACCCAAACTCTGGTTTCAGACAAAACTCCAAACATCCCTCCATATACTCGTCATGGGAGACTCGGTCGCCATGCAATTGGGAGAATTGTTGCAAGAAGCCATGGGCGTTCAAGTCGAAAATAGAGTCCTCTTGCGACAATTGGATGGAGAAGACGAGACACACGAATCTCTCTTTTGGGGGACCACCAATCAAGGTGGTGGTGGGAGTGGTGGATTCCGGATTCTCCATTGGTGGTTGCGACGCAATCAGGGCAAACCACTCCCGGAAACATCGGGCGGTGGATGGCGCATGGCCGATGTCGACAAGCTACTCCAGAATATGAAAACCATGAAACAACACCAAGTGGCCATGACGTCCGGCAAGGGGATTGACGTTCCCGATCAGGCCATGGATGTCTTGGTGTTTCGAGTGTCCCAACCCTGGATGGGATGGGAAACCATTGACGCCGGTGGGATGCAGAAAACCATTGAAGTGGCACACGAACAACTCAAGGTCAAAGTGGTCGTCTTTTTGACCATTCCCTTTTCCAACAATATCGTCGACAAGACGGATATACTCACCATGCAAAAGAAGAATGCCATGATGAAACAATTTGCTGCCGACTATGCCAAGAACCCATTCAAGGGGGTGACTGTCATGGTATTGGATCTGGGACAGCTCCATGATAGCGTCATGAAAGTGCATGCCAAGGGATTGGGATACAAATTCAAGAGCTCCAACGATTACGACTTTGGATTGGATATTCTCAAGCCACGAGCCGATTACTATTCGCACAGTATTGGGCACGTCTGTGGAGAACGGGCGCCAACCAAAGCCCAAGGATGCAAGCACTACAATATGATCACATTTGATGGACAACACTTGTGTATGAAGACCTTTGGAGGACGCTTGTTTGCGGGTCTCGCATGTGTCACTCGATGTGCGTATGCCTACGGTGACGACGAGAGTGCTACGGACGATCTGCGAGAGTGTGAGCACGCGTGTAATGATCAGTACATGAGCTTGGAAGAGATTGACGAGTCCATGTTTGTGGCGCCGCCGCCAGAAGACAAGGACGAACGACAAAGAAGACACGAATGATCCAAAGGGACCATCCGGCTAGGCGGCAAGACCTAGCACCCGTAGATTAGCGCGTCATCCTTGTCCGTATATAACATGTAGTTTATGTTAACGTTTGATGTAGCCTGCAGTTGAAAACTCGTGTGTTGTGGGATGGGGCAAGTAGGATACGACTTCCGTGCGGCATGAATCACTTGACAGCATCTGTCTGCAGGCAGCTCACACAGGACCCAAGAGGAACACAGAACGAACACGGTAAAGCCCCTTGGGTGGTCATAGCACATGCCCACTCCCTCATTTCTCTTCATCCCACGGCCAGCCATTCTCATCGGCATACCTGAGAACATCCAATTGGCCAAATAAAAATAGCAGCCTCTTGGCACCATGTATCCTCGTCCCGTGAACAGATATTTTCACAAGCATGCTTACTTTAGGACATCTATAGATGACCTTCAGCAGCAGCAGCAGCAGACGCAGACGCAAAAGCCTTTTTCATCTGGCCAATCACTCCCCACACGTGTGGTCCAAGGAAAACCGTTTCTCACTTTCCATTCGGACTTTGAGGCCCTTGCGAAAATTCTCGAGCACTCGTTGGGTAGCAGCCTCGGGAGAAGGTAGCATGTACAACTGGTCCAATCTGCCTCCTGCAAATCGGCATCCCAGCTCAAATTTGGAAGCAACGTCCTTGGGTATCATCTTTTTCCACATGGATATAAAGACATTGGCTGATGAAAACAAACAAACAAACAAACAAACAAAATAAAGTTGATGAAAAGGATTGAGGAAAAGCAAAGTATTATTCCATGACCCAAAACCAATGCAGACCCAAATAACAATATGTTTGCGGAAACTTACCCATGACTGGTGTATGATAGAATTTGCTGGTGACATTGGAGGGAAAGGCACCGACGGACAAGGAGGTGAAATGTGCAGACTGTGCCAAATCTGCCATGCCCGATCCATACTGAAACCCTTGACACTCAAAGATATCCACCTTTCCCTTGCGAATGACCTCAAAGCACGGATGGGTAGCATACATGGCATAGAATGCTCCCTTGACAATAATTTCTACATTTTTGGGATCTCTCCACACGGATGCTCGATACTTGGGAGAATCCATGACCATGACGGACAAGCCTGTTTCTAGATTGAACATGTAGGACATCCATACGCCGGGTAGCAGTTCCACCATGTCTTGGATGCTTCGGACACCGTCTTCGTATGTCAAGAGAATGTTATACTCTTGCCGGACTTCTTGCATCTTGTACACCCTCGACACAGCCCAATCCACGTCTCCCATCATGGATAAGTTGACGTACATGAAATCGGACAGATTATCCACATCGGGAAGACATTCAATGGCTTCCTTTACATTTACGGCAAACTCTCTCTCCTCCGACGAAAGCTTGAACAAGGCTGGGTCTAGCTGCAGGTGGCACTCCTCTTTGGCTTTTAGTTTGATATCCTTTTCTTCGCTGTTGTCCGTCTTCATCTTGCGTCTTTATCATCTGCTATTCCTGTTATGTTGGGGTTCGCTGGCAGTTTTTTGTGTGTGTGTATGCGTATATTTTTAAAAGTGGCATGCCCTTTCCCTGGGTGTAGTCCTAAGTTGGTGTGTATACAGTATTTAAGAGCTATTTAAGTGGCAGTGCCGTTGCAATGGCAATTTTGTGTGCTGATTCAGGGCATTCTCTACTCATTCTCGTCCTATTTTCTCGTCCTAACTGCTCGTCCTATTTTCTTGTCCTATTCTTAGGACGAATTGGCAATCTCTAAAAAATTTGTTCAAAAACTGGACTTAGCTAAAACGAGTTTTACGACGAGTCGAGTTCATTCTCTATTGGTCCTAAAAGTTCGTCCTAAACTAGCTAGCTAGCTAGTGAGGTTTGCACCTCTCCTCTATCAGCCTATTAAAGGGGTCCTGATAGTGTGGCTAGAAGCTTCCCACAAAGCACCTCAGTGGTCCTGGTGTGGTGTTACTCTAGTACGGTAGTAGGTAGCTAGCGAAAGCTAGCTACCGTGGCTGTGCGAGTCTTGTTAACTCAATCTTGTTAACTTGATTGATGTCATCAAAGGAACTCAAGGATTTAAAGGATTTCTTAGGACGATTCTTTAGAACGAGTTTCTTTTTTCGTCGTATTTTCGAAAAATAGAACGCAAATTTTCAGTTCGTCCTAAAAATCGTCCTAAAAATAGGACGATTTTGAGTTAAAGATTGCTTTTGTCCTAAAAATTCGTTCTAAAATAGACTTAGAACGAAACTTAGGACGAACGAATCTACTAGAGAATGCCCTCAGCTGTTTATTCAATGTCGCACTTTACCTTGAAGCTTGAAGGTTACTCGAGTACTCAGTACAGTAAGCCATACTATTAATAGTGGAGGCTTACCGTCGTACTGTACACGGTGGTACATGTACTACATAGCTAGTACATGTAGTAGTGTGTTCTTATTTTATTACACACTTTATCTTCATTTACCTTGCTGACGGCTACCGCTACGGTGGTACTCAGTACTCAGTACTGTAGAGCTACTGTAGTGTGTTTTTATTTATAGTTTTGTTACACTTTACCTTGGAAGTCTGTGGTACAGTTTACAACCGGTACCGTACGGTTCACCGATACATGAAGACTGCTTGGAATCCAGGAGCGTGCCTCCAGGACTTACCGGTTTGGGAGAGTCGAGTCTACTTACTTTCAAACCTTAAATCCTCGTGCATGGATTCATCTACCTCATGCATAGGATAACTCTATTCTGAGTCCTGTACCCGAAGTACGACTGTACCCAAAGTATCTGAAAACTTACTACTGTAGCAGTACTAGTAGTTTCAGAAAGCTGCTGAATTCCCTTTTCTATTTATTTTTGGTCGTGGTTGGAATCAATTGTTGCCTTACCTCTAGCTAGAGAAATATGGTGTAAAAATCAATCCAATACCCCGACGTGCAGTATAAGATAAGCTATTTACAAGTACTTCGTGCCTCAATTTCTACGCTAATACTGCTTCTATGTGGGGAATGAGGGAAGCTACTGTAGTACCCACTATCTTCCACATCACCATCTACATCCAAGTACAGTACTGCATATCCCCATGGTGGTGCACCTCCTCAATCACAACATCTTTGGTTTCATCAATTTTGGCCTTGCACCTTTGCCTTCTTGGGCTTTGGTGCTGGTGGCTCTTCACTGTTTGAGGGCATGGTTAGTATTAGAGTACTGTAAGCCACACCAAAGATACTGAGGTTGGGGTGCTTGTACAGTGTACAGTATTGACACAGTGAGGCTGTTTAATGAGTGACCTTCTTTTAATTAATAAGAGGCCTTCTTATGAAGAGACTAGCTAGCTTGCTAGAACTGCCGGTACCGGTACTGTACTCCTAGCTAGCCTCCAGTCACTGGGTGCTGGGCCTGTGATAATCAAATCGAATTGAATTGAATCAAATCGAATCAAATCGAAATCGAATCGAATGATTCGATTCAATCATCCGATTGCACATTCCAACAACATTGCGAAAGAAGTCACCCGGCCCGCACCAACAGCACCAGCCAAAGCTCCACACCAACCCGCCCTTATTCTTCCCAGACTATTATTTGTATCCTTGTGGGAAGCGCCCCCCATCTGTTTGCTTCTAGCTACTAGCTAGACTTTGATTGTTAGAATTTTTGATTGCAGAGAAGTGAAGAGAAGATGTTCCTTTTTGCCAGGTGCTACTGGCACATGCCCATTATTGTGTTATTACTGCTCCATGTGCTGTTATTATCATTGATGGCCACCACTTGCCAAGCAGGAGAAGACAATAATAACAACAAATGCCCGCAATTGTATCCGTTAATGATTCCCGATGCAGCGGTCCCGAAACGGCGGAATCGCGACAAGCTGGTGATTGCGCATCGCGGTGCTTCGTATCATTTGCCCGAGCACTCGTTGGAAGCGTACCAACTGGCATTGGAAATGGGCGCCGATTTTGTAGAACCCGATCTGGTGGCAACCTCCGACGGCCATTTGATTGCAATGCATACCGTCGATTTGAATGTCACCACCAATGTGGCGCAAATTTTTCCAAGTAGAGAATGGCAGAGTCCCTTTGTCAATCGCAGTGGCTATTGGTCCTTCAATTTTACATTGGCAGAAATCAAACAATTGAGACTTCGACAGCGATTGCCTCGTGCTAGAAGTACCACTTACGACGGCATGTTCCAAGTACCCACATTGGTGGAAATTCAGCAATTGATCAACACGTGGAATCAAGAACGAATTCCACAATTGTTGTTGCATGTCGATGATCATCCTGATGATGCTGCTTCAGTATCACCCAATAATACTGCAACAACAACAATAATACAACCACATGAACACTATCAACAATCTGCCGGTATCTATGCGGAACTCAAGGCATCACCGTGGCATGAACAAGATGCCAATATCAGTTTGGTCGATTTGTTCTTGCAGACATTGACCGAGAAAAACCAAGATCACGTCTTTGATCCCATCCTCGAGTGTCCTCCACTCTTCAAATTCGACGAGTACAAAGTCCCTCCATTGGTCATTCAATCTTTTGAAGGATCCGTATTGCAGGAAATGTCGGAAAAATGGCAATCCACTCAATTTAGTACTACTACCGATACTCCTACTGCTGCAGAAAAGCTACAACCACCACTGCCACCCATGATATTACTACTCAATTTGGAGCACTGTTGGTCCGAACCGACGTGGTTTGAGATTGGTGAAACCTGGAGAAAATACATTCAGGGTTTGGGCATTCACAAGGGGTGCTTTCCCAAAGTGGGGACCGATTACGAATTGGAACAGGGCAAGGGCGTTCAACGACGCGCGCAAGAATTCAATCTCGTCATTCATCCCTACACGGAACGACCCGAACACGAATTCTTGATGGAAGGATTCCAAGATGCCACCGACGAAATTCAATACCTCTTTTGCGAAATGGGAGCGCAGGGGACATTTACCGAATCCGTATCCACGGCCGTCATGGCGGCGCGAGTGGGGTGTCCTACTACAGACGTAGAAGGAGGAGGCGATGTCTCCACCGAAGAACCACAAGTGACGGCAGTTACGACGGCTCCCTCCAAGAACAACAGTAGCAACAACAACAAACTATGTTGGGAAGACACGTCCGAAGCCAATATGTATGTGGGGGTGGCATCCTTTGTCATGGGAATCTTTTTGACAGCTCTCATTTCCACATGGGTCAATCGAGGATTTACCTGTACCAAACGGCCACCGCGACAGCAACAGGTCCCGGTGGAGGACTCCAGTCATGGAGATTTAGAAGAAGTCCCAGATGATGAACTCTTATAGCACCACAACTATCTACTAGAATTTTTTTTTAAAAGGGTGATTCGATACTAGATTGCTATAGCTAGACTCATACAGATTTCAGTTACTTGCCAAGCAAGGGGTATCAAGAAACAAGCAAGTTGTGATTGATGGTATTCCGTTGGCTACATATCACTGAGTACGGGCTGCAAAAATGGGCCTTTGGGTAGTATCCTGAGCCTACATGGGCTGACATGTGCAAGAACCAGTAGCTTGTATCTGCAATGGCAAACCGGGGATTTGGGCCCTTCATCTGGCCATTCTTTCATGCACGCCACAAGGAGAGGGGTATCTAAAGAGAGTCCAGGATAAAACGGCCACACCCGTGAGAGATTGAATTCCAGCTGGCTCGATGGGTTTGTGCAGTAAGTAGAGGAAATTGACTTTGGAATGATTTCTTCTTCTGATCCAATCCCAAAGATCAGGTACACTCCCACATTTTGCATATTTTCTTAACTGGAGCGAATTGAGGGTTGTACAAAAAGGATCTTCCATCCTTGGATCAGTGGGTTGCTCGGGCGCCACGAGAAAAAACCATTCATGGCATTGAAGAATACCCATTGATAGTGTGTTATCGAGGGCAAAATTGTTTTCCATTTTTGGGTCAATGGGTTACTTCATCAGGGCTCGGGGAAAAAGAAAAATCATGCATGGAGAATTGTCTAGTAGTATGATATCCATCGGTCTGTGTGTGGGCGTGTTGAGTGAGTGGATGGGTGAATTGGATACCCAAAAGACGGAGGTAGAAGCTTGACAAAACGATGACGACTTCGGGCAATCATTAACTGGAATCGACGCTGGAACCCTGGAACAATGGATAAATCGATTGGTGGAAGGATGATTGAATCATTCGAGTCCAGGAGCAGACCATGGCATGTTCGCCCCCTCATCACCAGAATGGAAAGGGAACCTTCCATCTTTCAGCACAGCCTCGAAAGCTCCCAACTCCCACCCACCAAACAGTACAGTACAGTACCATACCGGTACGTGAGGTGTAATGCAGGCGGAAACCAACCCAAAGAACTTCTCAATCAAAAGCGGCGTTTTGCTTGAGGGCAGTCTCCACCTTCCTCATGGTTAGGCTTTTCATGGACTTCATGCTTAGAGGCTTGACTCGTAGGTTCTCCAATCTGTCAAGCATGATGCAAGCATCAACCCAACTTCCAAATACGATAGGGAAACAGAAGACTTCTACAGCAGGGAATTGCCAAAAGACTGAGAGCTGGGCGGAAGTTAGTCGAAGAGAAGCCGTGGAAGCAAGTCTCTCTCCGTCTGTCTGTCTGACAATATTTCCTGTATTCAATACGTTTTGATTGATACCCCATTTGCCCGCATCTTTACAACAGAGCCACTCCAACGCTGAAGAAAAGGGTATAAGGACAGACTTCAAGATCTCATTGTTTGCTTCGGATAAACACCTGGGAACGTGCAAAATTCCAATATTTTATCGGAAGAGTCTTGTGTTCCCATCATTGCGCACAAAGACACTTGACGCCACTCTTATGTTTCTATGCGAACGCAAAGATACCGTGTCACCCAGCATCACATAGGGCGCGTACAGTAAAATGCAGTTTCACGTACTCCACAGTACTTGTCACAGTGCGAATGGTGGATTGGTGTCATCCCGTCCTCACAAAATAAGTTTGATCAAAACTTTTTGCTCACTCGAACGCTTTTACTAAGCAAAACCCACTTTGTCAAGTAAAAGAAAAGCAAACTACAACCATGGCCGAGGAACCAACCAAGACGGAAGAGCACATGACCCTGGACGTTGACGAGATCGCTGACATTGATGTGAGTCTGCCAGTTTGTTCGGTCGAGGGGAGGATTTAATCGAATCAGTGTCATCCAGTGTCATTTGCCATGTCGTCTGAATCATTCTAACGGTTTGCTGTCCCTGTTGTTGTTCCTGTTTTTATTATTATATAGGAACCTTGGATGAAGTACCATGAATTTGCTTGCGAGGTTGATCCCGATCAGGACTACAAGTCCAACGAAATCAAGTTGTGCAATTTCTCCCGTCCCCACATGCGGTAAGTGATGACAGTCATCATCGGCATTACACCATCCATTATCATGCCAACCCAATCGTTCATTCATGCCTCCTTTTTCGCAGTGCCTTTCACTGCTCGTGGATGGGATTCTTCATTGCGTTCTTTATCTGGTTTGCCATTGCTCCTTTGCTATCGGAAATCAAGGATACACTCGGATTGACCAAGAAGGAAATCTGGACATCCAGTATCGTGGGAGTCGCTGGAACCATTGCTATGCGTTTCATTTTGGGTCCTCTCTGTGACAAATTTGGTGCCCGTGTCCTCATGTCGGGGATTCTATGCATTGCCAGTGTCCCAACCGCCTGCACTGGTTTGATTAACTCTGCCGCTGGATTGGCCATTCTACGTCTCTTTATCGGTATTGCCGGAGGTACCTTTGTCATGTGCCAATACTGGTCCAGCCGCATGTTCACCAAGAACGTTGTGGGAACAGCCAATGCCCGTAAGTCGAAACAGAAAAAGAGTGCAGCAGCAACGGATGGATATTGCTCTCTCAAGTTCCAACATGCCACTCACTCACACCGACCTTTCTGCTGCTGCCTTTCATGTAGTCGTGGGAGGATGGGGAAACTTGGGAGGAGGTGTTACACAGCTCGTCATGGGATCCTTGCTCTTTCCCCTCTTCAAGGAGATCTTCAAGAACTCTGAGGATCCCGCAGAGAAGGCTTGGCGTACAGTCAGCATCGTCCCTGCCGTGGTTGCCTTTGGCTTGGGTGTCACCATCTTCTTTGTCAGTGATGACGCTCCAACTGGTAACTACGCCGAACTCAAGCGTCGTGGAGCCATGCCCGAGATCTCGGCTGCCGCGTCGTTCCGATCTGGTGCTTTGAACTTGAACACATGGTAAGTTCTTGCAAGCTCGCTGGTCGCTCACGCTGCGATGATTTGATTCGATTTGTCCACCTCCTAACGACTTTCTTTTTTCACGAAACCTATCAGGATCCTATTCGTCCAATATGCGTGCTGCTTCGGTAAGTTTGGTAGCATGCATGCAACAATCAGTGTCGTGTACTTTGAGGAGCACTCCAAACTGACAACACTGTCCATCAATGTTTTGCTACTGCTAGGTGTCGAGTTGACCATGAACAATGCTGCCGCTCTCTACTTCAAGGATGAGTTTGGCCAATCTACTGAATCCGCTGCTGCTATTGCATCCATTTTTGGATGGATGAATCTGTTTGCTCGTGGTATTGGAGGATGGGGCAGTGACAAGGCCAACGCTAGACTTGGAATGCGTGGACGTTTGGCTGTCCAGACCGTCTTGCTCCTTGGCGAAGGCTTGTTGGTTCTTCTATTTGCCAACACTGGAAGTTTGGGCCTTGCCATTGTCGTCATGGTTTTCTTCAGGTGTGTTGCTTGGTGTCGTTCCGTGGGGCACTTTTCAGTGATGTTGATCGATTGTCTGTCTGACACCTGGTTTTGTTTGTTTGTTTGTTCCTTCCTCGTCGTTACAGTCTCTTTGTGCAAGCCGCCGAAGGTTCCACCTATGGTATCGTTCCTTATGTCGATCCTCCATCCACTGGATCGATTGCAGGTATTGTCGGAGCTGGTGGAAACACTGGAGCCGTGTGCTTCGGTCTTGGTTTCCGCCAACTGGAATACTTTGACGCTTTCATGTTGATGGGTGCCGTCATTCTTGCATCTTCCGTATTGTCCGCTGGGGTGTTCATCAAGGGTCAATCCTCCTTGTTCTGTGGAGGCAGCGAACAAATGACGGTGGAAAAGGCAAATGCTCAAGCCGGTCAAACACTCATGGTTCCAGAACCAGACGTGGAGATTGCTGCCAAGATGGATCTTGATGATGTCATCGAAGAGATTGAAGCCTAAGTTGCCAATCTGCTGAATGGTGTATCCAGACTGCTATTATGGATGCCGAGAGGCTCGAAACAAGAAATTTGGGAGCCCGCAAGCAAGATGCCAGCCTTGCTTGACTTTGTGTGTTTCATGTTGTGAAGTAAGAGGAGTTTGAATTAATTAGTATATTGTTATGCTACAAGGTCTCTAGGTCTCTAGCTATCAGTAGACTAGCTAGTTGCTTTTGTTTCCAGCAAGTATCCGATCTCTGGCTAGCCAGCTTGGCTCTGCTCTGTCCTCTTTTCAGGGCGGCTCAAAACTTTTCTTTGTCTATCTCCCGTTTCCGGTCTGGAGGAGTTTCGGAGGTCCACCTTGCTTTCGCATTTGGGCCAAGCAAGCAAATAAAGTTGTCGGGAAAAGATAAGTTTTAAATCATGCAATGCAGAGGCAACCTGTGGTGTTGGTTCTAGCTTCTGGTAGCTCCGGTTGGGAGGTCCGAGTCCAGATCTTGTATGCCGTTGTGAGTTGAGTCGAGTCGTTGAGGATGAAGAAATGATTCGAATCTCCTCGCCGCGCGCTGCGCCCAGCGGAGGGTGGTGTCACATAGTCGTGTACACCCTTAAATCTTTTAGTCGTGGCTACATCTTTGCATTTCCATCTGGTTCCGTCGGTCAACGACCTCCGTTCGATTTTCTCCGCAGCCACCGTAGCCTCCGCAGCACACCAGCCAAGCAAGCAATCGGAAGAGAACAACACTAACCAAGCTCTGTGAGGCCCAGCAAGTGTCTTGTTGGGTGTTGTTTGGTAGTATAGAGCATGAAATCAGTGCTCATCAGTGGATCCATCTCTTCTCGTCACTGGCTCAGTCTAGCCTCATCACGGGACGTTTTTCAAAATTTTCAATCTGGAGGAATCCATCATCTGATTTTTGAGGGTCGAAAAATGGGATGTCACCATGATGAGCTCACTTTTTTGTTCAACCGGATTGCTAGAGTTGCATACCCAACCGAACAAGGAAGATTTGCGATTGTTGATAAGCCTAGGCCAGATCAACCCCCCCCTACTTTCAATTACCTTTTCTATCAATCTTCTATTCAATACCTATCAATTGCAAAATGAAGTTCTCTTCTTCTATCATCAAGCTGCTCTCGTGGTCATGGACCACCGACAACAACAACAGCCACACCACGAAGACCCCCGTTCTCCAGGTCGCCAAGGAGATGACGGGCAACAACAACAACGACAAGGACGTTCCTGTGGCAGAGGAAGTCCCAATGTTCCAACTGGACGAGTTGGACAAGTCGGTCGTCCAAACCGCGGCACTGTTGCATGGAGCTCATCCTGATGTGGAGTTCCAGCAGCACGGTCGCTACCTAGGTGCCTACGACCTTTCCCTGGTTCCTGCGGATCAGCATGGTCACTACGGATACGACAAATACAACCAGCACCGGCCCAAAGGCTGTCGCATCAAACCCAGTCAATCAGCCAACGCTCGCTGGAAGGCCCATTACGGTCAAGACACCGAACGGAGCAATGGAAACCGTTTATCCTTTGCTCCCGTCAACACTGTAGTGGGGTACTCTTCTGATGAGAGTGAACAAGAGGAAAACCGCCGTGTCTATCTAGACATGAAGAAACATGTGCCACAGGCCCAATACGAATTCTGGCAGGAAGCCCAACAACAATTCATTTCCGTCGGCACACAAACACCCCACGAACGCGTCTTGGATCTCGTGCAGTTGATTCAAGAGTACGGATACCAACAAGTGGCCAAATGGATCACCAACAACCTATGGTTCCAAAGCGACAAAGCGTACCTAAAACACGCCAAACTGTACATTCAAATTGATGCCGTGCATCAAGACCTCGAGGGACTTGTTCGTTTCATCCAGGCGAAGAAAGGAAATGACAAACAAGTCGCCCACTGGTTCATGGTCAACGAAAAGAACCCTTACATGTTCGAACTCGCCATGTGCCACTTGCATCACGGAGGAATTCAGCGCAACGCTGACGACGAAATTTGCACCTTGAATACGCGAGAACAGATTGCCAATCGACGATTTGTCTATCGCAAGGTCAAGGATGTCTGCATGGAAGATGCAGCACCAGTAGAAGTAGATCAACAACCAACAACAACTAAAGACATCGAGACAATAGAAACAGTCTGGACTGTCGACGACGACAAGATGGCATCCGATGCCACAATCACACACGAAGCAGCGGTGGCTCCCACATGCACAGCAGTGGTCCCATACGTGCAAAAGTGGCATGTGACACACTTCAAGATCAGTGTGCATGGACAACAACCATTTGTTTTGGCGATGCGAATGATGAATGGTGTGCTACTTGGAGTGGTACCCAACGACATTCTCACAGCCTTGATGAAGGATGGTGGAGACCTTGTCAAGGAAATGATGTGGCGGCACAAGACACTACGATTGGAGGCATGCGTTGCCTCGGACGATACAGATTATGAACTTGTGACTGGCCAAGTGGTAGCTGAAGAACCACTGGTCGAGGTCGAGGAACAACAGCAAGTTGATGCTGAAGAACCACTGGTCGACAACCAAGTCGATGAGGAGGACAACAACGTGGACACAGCACAAAAATCAACTTTGCGACGATCAAAGAGACGCATGGCGGCGATTGCATCTCAGAGAATCGCAGAACAACTCAAGACGAAGCCACAGCGGGTGGCAGTTGAACAACCTAGAATTAAACGTAGACGGGCGGCAGCCACCAAGAAAAAGGCGACAAAGCCAAAGGCGAAGGGCAGGAAGACAAAGGCAAATGGCAACAAGACAACGGCAACAAGACCTGTGACGGACACACAGCAGCAAACAACACTTCAGACGACAACAACTCTTTCTGGACGGCGAGTCAGAAAACCTGACCGGTACATTCCAGTCTAGGACAACAGGTAAGTTGGGGGCGGCGACGACGCATTGCGGGGATTACTAACACATGAATACAATACACACAGAGCAAGCATCTGGTGGGGTGCAGGGCTATACAACAATTTTTTGCGGAGATGAATACAGTTGGTTCAATTGAAGGGTCACATCGAAGGTAGCTAGGTTTGTGGTTCCTGTGCTAGGCGGCCTCTATTGCAGAGTGCTTGTCCGAACGTCCTCCACGCGACGAAAGTCCAAAGTTAATACCCGTGACACCCGACAACCAACCTCTATCATTGTTGATGCTATGCTACAATCTTAATTAAATACAACCAAACAACCTAAACATAGAACGATAACACATAGTAGACAATCTTGACAAACAAAATCATGGCTTCATTCTTTATTGTAGTTGTATTCGTACTAGCTAGCTAGTTACAAGCTAGGACATGGCAAGCGGTGGTTGCTAACCCTGTGCACAAAGAGGTTACTATAGCAATTGAATTTTTTTGTGGAAAAGATTAGTAAGAGTTACCAGTACCTCATGCAGTGTGAGCTAGCTAGGTCACTCATCCGAGCTCTCTCGGTCAGTGCATGAGTCATCTTCCGAACGGCATGGCTATTCCTGTGAGGGTGATGGCATCATCCTGTGAGCTCAGCAAGCCGTGCTTTGAAATTTTCAAGGGAACTCCTTTGAACATGGTTTAACATGTCTTATCAAGCTAATTCGCTTCTGTCTATCCATTGACGGGTCCTTTCAAGATGGAGCCAAGTATTGTGGCCGGCTCTCTCCGCCGAAGCGTGACCTGAGAAGAAGATCGAAACCTTTTTGGATTCGATTCTCAAACAACAACCTCCAAGGAGCAACAAAGCGGTACCATACAGTACTGGAGAACACAGAACCACCACCATCGTCCAGCTTCAGACCATGAGAGAGTCTCATGACTAGCTAGCTGGCTAGTAGTGCAGTAGTTTCTCTCTTCAGTCCCCATCCAAAGGAGAGGTCGAAGAAGCCAGAGGAAGAAAGCTGGTAAGGGGGACAAGTCCATCATCCAGGGGGGAGGAAGAGGACGCCTGCAGTATAGTATAGTACCGCACATACATTTGGAGTTGCCCTGTGCATGATCATCAAAGGAGACGTCATTGATTTTCTACTAGCACATCATCCGGAGGATCAAACCTCCCTTATTTGGACTGGACACAGGACAACCACAGCAAGGACATACGAGCCCACGCCTAGAAGTTCCCACGCGAAGGGGGCGGGGGCCCCGCCGCCTTTGGGCGGTTCTACTAGTAGTAGACGAGGAGGAAGGAAAAGAGGATTGGAAATAAAGAAAGTTGAAATAGTAGGAAAAGGAGACAAAACAAGAGAAGAGGAAAGCGATAGCGAAGATTCGATTTGGAGTAACAGCAGTTGTAGCTCTGGAAACACCACCACCACAACAACATCTACAAGTAGTAGCGACGACGACAAGAACGAAACAGACGACAACATGAATTGGTTCAGTGGTGCCGCCAAGAAAAAGGCGGAAGAAGATGCCGCCAAGGCAGCGGCTGCCCAAAAGACAATGGAGGCTGAAATTCGACAGCTGTACGAAATTGGGACACAGCGAGAAGCACTGGAAGGAATGTTCAGTAAGGAGGATGTGGACCGAGTAGTGGAACAAATCGACAAAGAACGGGCTCTCTTGGCCATGTTGGAAGCCGAGCAAAAGGCCGAAGACGAAAAAAAGGCCAAAGAAAAGGCGGAGCGCATGCGGGAAATTCGAGAACTGTACGAAGCGGGCACGCAAGCGGCCATGTTGGAACAGTTGCATGATCCCGGAGAAGTGCAGGAAGTGGTGGAAATCATGGAAAAGGAAAAGGCGGAAGAAGAAGCAGCGGCAGCTCAAGCAGCGGCAGAGGAAGCAGCAGCTGCAAAGGCGGAAGATTCAGATCATGACATGACCGAAGAAGAACGAGCCGAAATGATTGAGGACATCAAATCCATGCTTCGAACCAACACCAAAATGAAAACAATCGAATCGTTGTTCAAAACGAGGTACATTGAAGAAGGACAACGCATCTTGAAAAAGGAACGAGTGCAAGAACAAGCCAAGGAAATTGAAAAGGCAGTGGCTGGCATTCAACCCCATTCCAAATTGGTGCTCCATTTGAAGGGACTGGACGATTTGGATGTCGCCCGGCCAGTCTTTCACATAGCCTGTGAATCCAAAGATGGCGCGTGGAAGGTGATTCATAAATCGCAACCGTTCTCGGAGGACGATAATGCGTGGCCAACTAGCAAGATTCGGCTCGAAAAGATTTTGGAGGATCGAGCCACTACCTCATCGGCCACGGTACGCATCAAATTGTTGGAGGAACAAGGCGACGATGGTCGTTTTCTCGCGGTTGGACATGTCGATACGACAGTGCCAGAGTTATTAAAGCGAGCAATTCAACAAAAGGATTTGGACGAAGCAGGCGGAGACGACCAGGAAGAAGAACAGGAAAAACTTGCACTGGACATTCAAGATCGGAAACACAATACTGTGGCGTCGCTGATCGTTGCCGAGGCGTCCGTCTACACGCATCAGGAAACATCGGAAGAAAAGAACGCCAAGAACAAAATCAACAAATCCTTGGCCAAACTTGGTCAAGAATCCAAATTGTTGCTATCTCTTCGGGCCGTGAATACAGAAGAGCTAGGAGATGCGGAGCTTCAGGCTTTCATGCAGGTGGAGACACAGTCAAAGCCGAGAGGACCCTGGGAAGTGCAGTACACGTCAGAGCACATTGATATTGACAATACACTAGAATGGAAACCAGCAAAGTTATCCTGCCGATCGGTGCTCTGGGAGGGTGGAAGACTATCCCCGCTACGGATATCCATGATGGATTGGAACGATGGAAAAACACCCAACACTCTGGGGTCATTTGTGGCAACGTTGGACGAGTTGCTGTGGCGTTCAGAATCCAATAAAGTGTCCTCAAAGACGCTGGATGACGAAGATCGCATGTTCCCCTGCATCGATGAGGATAACGATGATGAATATGCGTCCATCATTGTCCAGGAAGCATCGATTCTTGAAATGTCCGCGGAGGAGAAGGCCTTACGTGCCGACATTACAGAACGCCTGGAAAACCTTGAGGAACACTCTCGGCTGCACATTACCTTGAAGGGTGTAGACTTGAAAGCAATGAAAGAGGGCATGTTTGGAAATTACTCGGATCCCTTTTTCGAGGTCTCTGGATTGGGTAGCAATGGGTGGAACACTGTATATACGTCGGAGACTATCAACGACAACGTGAATCCCGAGTGGAAGCAAGGGAGACTTTCGTTCGACAAGCTATTGGATTGTGGTGATTCTGCGACAATGATTCGAATAATTTTGATGGACGCGGAGGAAAATGGGGATCACCGCCGCATTGGTTTTCTGGACACGACACTATTTGATCTTTTGTTGTGTTCCGAGTCCTCGATTGCTGCCAGCGCCATGGCCGATGACCTACCGTTCACCTGCATTGACGAATCAGGCCAAAGCATCGGGTCGATCATTGTGGTGGATGCAGACATTGTGGGAGAAAGCACCGAAGAAAAGAAGTCTCGTGCCGAAATTGCCGAAATGCTTAGCACTATTGACGAATATTCGGCCTTGGTTTTGTATCTGAAAGGAACCGATCTCGTCAACATGGATGGTCTACTTGGGGTTTCAGATCCGTTCTACGTTGTTTTGTCTCGGGGGGACTCTGACGGCCAATGGGAAAGGGTCTACCGGTCCGAACATATAGATGACAACCAGTCCCCGGTCTGGGGCAGGGCAAGAATATCTCTGAAGAAACTTCTGAAAGGTGACGTCAACAAGAAGCTTCGAATTGAAATGTACGATTGGCAGGAAAGTGAATCTCACCAGGCAATGGGGTGGTTCCACACAACGCTGAACGAGCTGTTATGGCGCTCGAAGACGAATGCTGCAGCGAAGGCAGTCGGAGAAGACGAACCATTCGTGTGTCGGGATGGTGCGGATGCCGTCTACGGATCGATTATGGTTGACAGTGCGAAGGTGGTAACAGAGAATGCCGCAGAGAAGGAAGCGCGAAAAGAAATAGTCCAGACGCTGGAACAAATGGACGAATACACAAGGCTCCGCTTTACGATGCGAGGGACAAATCTAGTCAACATGGACGGGTTCCTTGGAGTGTCCGACCCCTTCTTTGAATTGAAGACGCAGGATGACGAAGGAGAATGGACGACGGTTTTCAAATCCAACCACATCGTCGACAACCATGAACCTTTGTGGCTAGCGGCGACAATCCCAATTCAGAAATTGCTTAGAGGACAGGTGAACCGGACAATCCGAGTAACCATGACGGATTGGCAAGAAGACGGAGCTCACCAACCAATGGGATTCTTCGAAACAAACCTCTTAGAGTTTCTTTGGTTCGCGGAGAGTAATAAGGCTGCGGTGTCGCTGGGCGAACATAGGACATTCCTCTGCAGGGATGGCAATGACAACCAGTATGGTTCACTTGCAATCGTAGATGCGGCTGTCGTCATGGACTCTCCAGAAGAGAGTGAAGGAAGGAAGATGATCAAGTCACATCTGGAAAAGGTGCAAGAGGGATCAAATCTGACAGTGGAACTGAAGGGGAAAGACTTAGCCAACGTCGAAGGTATGTGGGGTTGCTCTGATCCCTTTGTGGAGTTCGCTGCAAAGACCGAATCTGGTGAATGGCAGACTATCTATAGGTCCGAGCACGTGGAGAACAATTTGAATCCAGAGTGGAAGCCTGCCATAATTCCACTAGCAGCATTGTTGAAAGGAGATATTGACAGGGATCTTAAGGTGTCCCTCTTTGACTGGGAGTCCAGTGGAAATCATCAGACAATGGGCTACTTTGAAACTTCAATTCAAGAATTGCTATGGCGTTCCCAAACGAACGAAGCTTCGAAAACACCCATGAGCGAGCGCTCCTTCGTGGCAAAGGCCGACGATGGCGAAGTGTTTGGCAACATCATTGTGGCATCTGCGTCGCTGGACACACTTGAGAAGATCGTGGTTAATATGAAGAAAGAAATACCAGACAATGGCGCAAATGCCCATGCTGAAACCTCAGACTCAATGGAGCCTATCATGCCAGCGGGTTCGGAGCTCCTGTTGACAATGAAAGGAGTCAATCTAGAGAATGTGGAAGGATGGTTTGGCTGCAGTGATCCATTTTTTACTGTTTCTGTTGCGGCAGATGATCTGTCGGTGAAAAAGGAGTGGCAGAGAATTCACAAGTCAGAGTACTTGGAGAATTCCTTGAACCCTGAATGGAAACAGGCTGCAATCTCAATGGACTCGTTGAAGGGAAATGACATTGACGCGTGCCTTCTTATTTCCGTGTTTGATTGGGAGGAAAACGATGAGCACAACCCAATGGGATTCTTCGAAACCAGCGTGAGGGATCTTTTGAAGCATGCGGAGGCGTTTTCAGCAGATGATTCGAGAGTTGCAGAGTCAATGTACACTCTCCGCGATGCTGACGGCAAAGAATATGGAACCATTGTCATCACTGGCGCAAACATGAAGAAGCCTCCTCCTCCGAAGCAAGCAGAACCACCGGAAGTCATTCCCGATCCTGTTCCGCCAACACCCGAGAGTAGTGACAAGGTGAACACTGAAAGTACTCCAATGAATGGCTCCGAAACAAACACGCCGAAGGCGGAACCAGAAAAAGACTCCGACATTATCTACGGCGACGTTGACCTTTCCGATAGCTTCAGCTCAGGGTCACACTCGGGCGGGGAAGATGATGGCTCTCACGGTGACGACGGGAGCTTCATTAGCGAAAGAACGGGCGACTATAGTCGTGATGGAGATGATTTCAGTGGCGATGGAAGCGACCGCGGTGACGATGATCAGGACGGTGGAGAGCCGATTCCTCCTGGGCTCAAGAAGTTGCATGAAGGTTCAGAGCTCACTTTGTCTCTGATGGGGGCCGAACTGGGAGGCAGCCAAGGATGCGATTTTCCATTTTATGAAATTGACGTTTTGCTTGAGGGTGATGATGACTCCTGGGATAATGTGTATGCTTCTGAACACCTTGAGCCAGATATGCCCATAATATGGAAACCAGCTTCCATCCCTCTCGATTTTCTCATGGATGGCACATTTGATCGAGTGCTTCGCATTTCTTTGTTTGATTGGGACGAAAGTGGCGACAACGCTTTCATTGGTGATTTTGAAACCACTGTTCCCGAGTTGCTCAACCGGGTTGAAACGGGCAAGGAAGTCATTTATATTCTTGAGGATGAAGACGGCAACGAGCAAGGCGATATGACTGTTCTGGCTGCAGTACTGGTCGTACCCGAGCCAGAGAAGGTCATGTGCTTGACTCTGGAAGGAAAGGATTTGGCCCATTGTTCCAATCCTTTCTTTGAGGTTCTCGAACAGGATGCTGGAGATTGGAAACCCGTATACCGTTCGGACCACGTGAAGGACACGAGCCCTCGTTGGCCAAGGTCCATTGTCGGCGTTGGCGAAGACATGGACCGACCTATGCGCATCTCACTGTTCGACTGGAGTAAAGATGGCGACCACGAGCATTTGGGTGACTTCGAGACGACAGCCAACGACCTGCTTGATATGGGATTGGACGGTGGCTCCAGTAAGTTCTTTGTGAAGGACGATTCGGGAGAGCTGATTGGTAAGGTTTTTGTCAGGGAAGCCTACCTGGAAGACAAGGACAAGGTTGCTGATGACCACCAAGAAACAACGAACGCGGACAATGAGAGCGTCGCCGAATCTTTCGTTTCTGGTCAAGACATGGATGATGCATCTGCGATCAGCAGGGATAGATCAGAAGTTTCATCAAGACACAGTGGCGGGCCGTCTGAAGCGTCCTTTTCCGGGACAGATAACGAGCCCAGCCAATCGAACCACGATGGATCCGAGAAACAGATGGATATTGATGAGGATTCCGTGCACTCTGGTTCTGCAATGGATGAAGACCATGGGAGCGTGAGTCCGTCCGAAGCCTCAACAAGCCACAGGGAGGGTACGTCGAATCACGAGAGCTTTAGCCATTCTGTTGCATCAGCACATTCTGGGGGCAAACCCGGGCATGGCAGTGCTCGGAGCTTTAGCCAATCAGGCCACTCTGGTCATTCTGATGGGGGAGACAAACATGACGATAGCCAAGTGGATCACAGCCCTGCGCCGTCTGTACGATCGGAGGTGTCTCGCTCTTCCCGACAGAGCTCTCACCATAGCGAGCATGATAGCAGTGCTTCCTCGATTGATCCAGAGAAGAAGAGACGTCAAACCCTGATGGATATTCGAGGGCTCTACGAGGCAGGAACCCCGCCAGAAACACTGGAACAAATGTTCAGCCCCGCTGATGTCGCAGAAGTTGCTGCTATGGTTGAAAAGGACAAGAGCAGTGGTGAGGCCGACGACAAATCTGTTGACTCGGGCAGTAGCGAACAAAAAGAGAAGGCAGACGAACCACCTGAGGCAACCAAGGAAGCGCCAAAGGAAATGAATGGTCTGGTCGCGGCAAGCGCCAGCGCAGTAGTTAGCACGGCTGCGGGTGTCGATCCCGATGTCGTGAAGAAGTTCGAGGACACCATCGCAAAGCTGGAATCGCAGAACGAGGTTCTTCAGTCAACGTGCGATCAACTGAAAAAGGAAATTGAATCACTGGAGAAAAAAGAGCAACCCGGAAAGAAGGGCGGCGACGGGCAATCGCAAAATGCTGATGCTTTGCAGTCACAGAATGATGCGTTACAAGCAACGTGTGACCAGCTTCGAAAGGAAATTGATGATATGCAGAAGAAGGAAACAACGAGCGATCAACTCAAAAAGGAGATTGAAGAAATGGAAAAGAAATGCAAGGACCTGCAAGAGGAAAACGACACGCTTGACGAAAAGAACACTTCACTCCAAGCCACTTGCGACGAATTGACAAACTCGTTGAAAGAAGCTGAGCAGAAGAGCGGCAAATTCGACGAACTTAAGGAAGCCAATAGCGAGCTGAAGAAGGAGTACGAGGAGCTCCAAGACGAGCACAAGTCTCTAGAGGAAAATTGTAGCTCCCTGCAAAAGAAGACCACAACGCTAGAGGCCACAAGCAACAATCTGAAAGAGGAACTGGAGACGTTGCAAGAAACAGTAGAAGATCTCGAGCGCCAAAACGCAGAGCTGGAGGAGGAACTCAAGGCAGCCACAGAAGAAAAAGACTCTGTCGCAAAAGAGTTTGCTGACTTCCAGGCCGCAACAGGAATCAAGGAGAAGCGTTTCTTGAAGAGTTTGGATTCCATGACTTCCAAGAAAGAAGCTGCCGAAGAAGAGCTGGCTGAACTCAAAAGTGGAACCGAAACCGAGACGGCCAAACTGAAGGAAGAAAACCAACAACTGACTGAGAAGGTTTCAACTCTGGAAGCGTCTGCTGCCGAAAACGAAAGCAGGGTGGCAACGGCCAAGAATATGTTGGACAGCTTTGGAGCGAAACAGAAGGAAATCGAAGCTCTTCAGGCCAAGGTAACCGAGCTCGAAGCAGGGCAGGGTCAAGCCACTCCTTTAAACCCATCGCCTATGGAAGGTGTCACAGAAGAGAAATCTGACAAAGCAGGCAGCCGTACGCCAACTCGAGAGCGTTCCCCAACCAGAGAGAAATCAGAGAGAAAGGATAGATCAGAAAAATCACCGCGACGTCCGGATGAAAAAGAGAGACATGATGACAAACGCCGATCCGACAGGGATAAGATGGGACGGTCCGAAAAGCGTGAAAGGGACAAAGAAGGAGACAAAATGGGCGATTTCTCGAAGAAGAGCGATCACTCGAAGAAGAGAGACGGCAAGGAGAGAGAACGGGACAAGGACAAGGAGAGACGCGATCGCCACGACAAGGATCGACGTCGAGAGAAGGACCGGCATTCATCTTCCAAAGATTCCGAAAACAAAGACCGGCCGAAAGACGAACGAGGCAGTAAAGATCGAGAACGACGCGATAAGGACGGAAAGGAGAGGTCATCTCGAGACAAAGATAAGGACAAGGATCGCGAGAGACGTCACCGCGATGGCAAGGATCGAGATCGAGATCGTGATCGTGGCGGCGATAGGAAAGATCGCGAGAAGGATGGAAAATCGTCAAGAGACAAGGACAAGGACAGGGAACGAAGGAAAGAAAAAGAGAGGCGGAGTACGAAGCCCCGTTGAGATCCATTTGGCTTGCGTCGATGGGTTCCTTCGACACGCCTTTACGGATGCTGCATTGCCGGTGTGTTGCAACTGCCAAAATGAATGCGACAGTGGCGATGACTCTGTGTGTAGCTTGCAATCATATTGCCGCTTGCTGTGCGGGAACGTCTTGCGCCCTATTGCCGCTGCGGCCCCAAGCTTGTTCTGGCCAATTGCGGTACGGTGCAATGAAAGGAACATCTCGGAACAAGTGGACTTGAGATGAGGGGTCGCTGATACGCTTGATTCTACTCGTCATTTTGCGCTGCCTTGCTCGTACTGCCATGTAATGAGAAACTAGTACCGTATCGGCATTTTGTGCCAAGTACATGTACTTCCGAGTAACGTATGGTTAAGTGATGGCTTCCCGCTAGTAGCTAGATTCTCTTAGCTATGGCTGAGAACATAGTTTCCTCATGCACACTACTGTTCCGAGGCAGCAGCAGCAGCCCAACCCAGCAATACCGGTATGTCCTTTAGAGCTTTGATGCGTCACATAGTCTTAATAATAGGGTATTTGCAATTTTATTTTTCTCTGTCACTCCTTTGTACAGTACAAAAAATCTGGCTCTGCCGACGTGAGAGGGATATTAGTACGACGAGGAGTACTACTGGTACAGCCTAGCCGGCATGGTGACGCTGGGAGGTGGAGGGGAGTACAACTTCGCAAGGACTGGCTGGCTGGTCGGTCCACCGTAGCAAGAGTTGATTTTTCCCTTGGCTTATGGGATAATTCGTCAGCGTATTGGGGACGCGGTGCGTAACAGTTCTAGATCTCGATACTAGGCTACTCAGATATTATATGCCGCTGGGAAGTCCCCAGCATGATATCGTATCCCTAAAGTAAACGCATTCTAGACTAGTGGTGTCATCCATCCCCACCTCTTCGGTCGATCACATCAATCCAGCAACTTCTTACTACTCGTTGTATCCACGGCAACCCGGACGAAGATCCCACTTCCCATTCGATTCACCCAGGCCATCGCTACATCCTCCCATTTCTCTGGTGCTTTTTTGGCCAGTGTAAAGACAGGGACATAATGCCTCAAAATACCTTGTCCCAGCAGTACATGGCGACTGACCAGAAAAGCAAGGCCATAGGGGTTTGTGTGGCACCATGAAACAAAGTTCCAAAGAATAGGTATCTGAGTGAGCACCACAATGAAAGCGGTGCTGATAGCCCAAGTCAGGAACTTGGAGTAACGCAATGTAATGCGAAGGTAGGTTGTCAACAAGTGCACTGCAGCCACAACCGTTACGCGCTTCATGTTGTCGTGTACAGCCAAAGAGACACCAGCGTATCGATTCCAATGCAAGAGATTTCCAAGCAAGAAGATGTACATTGGTGTAGCCAATTGCAGAATGTAGGCACGATGATACGTCAACGATTGGATCTTCCCCTTTCGAACCAGTGTCATGAGCAAGGGCGCCCCTTGAATGGCCAGAAGAGTAGCCCAGGGAGTGGCGGGATCTTCGGAAATGCAGGAAAGTGCAGCAGCAAATTGTTTCATGGCATAGATGTACTTGACATTTTGCTGCATCTCGGGTGTAATGCAGGTGGGGTAGGGCATGGCGTTGGTCTTAAGACAAAGATGGGTGAGATATGGGCGAGACATGGTTGCGCAAACATGCATGTAATGCGAGCTGCAGCAAAAGTGCGGGGTATCAACCTACCGTGCGTTTCTCGGTGCAACCATGCTTCTGGGTGATCCAGTCTGCAGCATAACACGTTGCCAACACCAAAGCCAGCTTGGCAAAAAAGTTCAAAAGGAGTTGCTGTGGCCACAATCCGTAGAGTGAAATCAAACTGCCGACCACCCCTCGGGTGGCAAAGGTGATGCTGTGCAGGCGAAATTCGGTCCAAATCATGGGGGATGAGTAGTTTCGCGTCTTGGGAAGAGGTAGCAGCAAACTGGACCAACTCAAGATGGCATGGAGGACCACACAAATGGCATCCCAGTGCACTTTGTCTGGACTGCAGAGGCCATCGTTTGCATGGTGCACGGAACAAAATACGAAACCCCGAATCAAAGCTCCATAGAGGAAACGATACAGAAAGTGCAGGAGCACAAAGAGTCCCAAGATCTTGTGGATGTGGAAGGGATCATGGTGCGTAAACAACTTTGCCATCGTGCAACCTTTAACCTTTCACAAGTACGACTGTACTGGACAGGTGATTTATTTCTTCGAAAACGTTTGCTTTTTACGTGCTTTTCAGGGAGTGCTGAGAAAGCTTATTGCCAGAGTGCAGAACACCAGAATTTCGAATAGTGAGCAAGTCGTCCTCCTTTTCCGTTGCGGTTATGTAGAAAAACTGCTCACTTAGAGGATCGCTTCTTGATTTCTGTTTTACTTATGCAAAATTGGAGCTCAAAAAAGCTGATACTCGAATGCTTGTAAAAGGTAAATCAGCGGGCTCGAAAGGGCTATTTCTATAGCTGGCAAAGCTGCCAAGCCTCGTAAGGAGCGGCACCGGATCTTATACGGTACGGACGGGGGTTAAAGTTTGTGGATAAGTTGATACAAAGTCAAGGGGGGTTTACAGTATGACATAGGTATATGCGGAAGGGCGTGTATGGTAAAAATTGGGTGACCAGCAGGGATGGTGGGGGCTGAAATAGATATCCGATGGAAGGGTGGTTCCGACTGAACGCCAGAGAAACCAAAGCATTCACATGAAATCGAACCAAGTTAATTGCAGATTCCATTATGGCGACAGATTTCATTATGGCGACGGATTTCATTATGGCACCAGATGGCCAAAACCGCCACATTTGCAATCCAAAGCATGGGGAACACTGAAGAGACCGGCGCAACCACCACGAGAGCAGGAAGAGCTGGACGATGCGGCAATCAATCCCCAGGCTAATTGTGAGGGGAGACTGTTTTGGAGATTATCAAAGCTTAGGAGACTTTCATTTGAAATTAGGAGACCATTTGGAGATTATCAAAATTTAGGAGACTGTTCCTCACATTTTACTGATTGGCCTATCGTCCTGGGGGGCGGGGTAAGACCGTACCAGGGAAAGAGAGCATCACACCATTCGAGCTGAGAGTTGGAAGATGCATTAATTTTGGCAATATCGGGCATAACGGCAAGCCAAGAGCCAGTGCAACCACTGCAATTGAGACGCCATTGATCAGGTGGATCAAGACTGGCTCGATATAGGTCTGGAAAGCTCGAAAGCCTTGGTGTACATAGACTTGATGACGTTTTTTGGCATTGAAGGACCATTCAGCTGGGGCTGTGCATACCGATAATTCTTTTGAGTACCGTACAACCAATGATTGGAGGTGGGACGTGTTCTATTTAACAAACTGTGAACCAGTGATGTTAAATGGTTTGTGTTTACCAGTCAAACACTGTGCGGCGACTGTACAATTTCACCAGTATAAACCACGACGCGTAGAAAGCCGGACGGTACTCTCCGGTACAGCCGTACGTGTTCAATTGACCACTGGATTATAATTACTACGGTACCTGTAGCTACTAGTAACTAGTAACTAGTAACTGTTGAGAGTGCGCTTTGTGGTGAGGTTCGCTTCTTATTTGAATGGCTCGTGAATGAAGCCATACATGCGAACTCTTGATCATTTAATGGAGGATCGTTTGGAAAGGATGGTCGTGTCACTATTAATGGCTAGCATTAATTGAAACGTCTCACGAATGTACTCTTTGCCTCTTACTGCCTACATGTACAGCTGTCCACCGCATGGTCAGAGTAGTAGTTTCCGTACCAGTGTGATACTAGCGTCTAGCTGAGAGCTGAGAAGAAAAGAAAGACGCCCGACAAAGAACAGTTTTTCCATGTACATGTACTGCATGCAGCCTTGATTGGAAAAAGAACAAACTGTACCCGACCAATTGAACACCGGATTGAAATTGCATTCGCGTTCGCATCGTATGATCTATTCCAAGGCAAGGATGCATCGGTACCGGGAGCCATCACACACAAAACTCCCACTTCCTTCTCACAATCTCAGTTCTGGAGTCCTCAATTTCACTCCAATTGAATCTTCTACATCTTACCATTGGCAACCATGAAGTTTTCTTCAAGCATCGCTGGATTTTTGACTCTCATGTCAGTGGCTCACGCTTCTGTCATTCAAGAACAAGAACCCAACAACAGCCTTAACACTGCTCAGGTTTGTCCTTGCTCTTGTCATTTATCTAAATCACATGTCCAGTCCCTCACCTTGACCTTGCCCTTCTACTTTGCACTTTGCAGCCAATCCCTGTCGCTGCCTTTTCTCTTGGATACAATCCTATTATTGCAAACTCTGCTACACTTCCCTGGGTAACCATTGAGGGTACTGGGGATAATACTTTTGACTTTTACGCATTTGTGGTCCCCAATGCAGGAATGATTGCTTCCATCTTTGACGTGGACAATACAGGCAACCTTGATTCGTATCTGACTCTGTATGACCCAAATGGAAACTACCTTGCAGCCAATGATGATTCCTGGCCCAATATGGATTCTGGGTCAAGTTCGTATTTCGACTCCTACTTGACCTACACCTTCACTACTCCGGGCACATACACCATTGCTGTGAGTAACTGTTGTTCTCCTCCACACAATAACCGTGGGAGTTTTGTTCGAAATGGTGCCACATACAAGTTGCACATTTCCCTGGGTTATTCGGAAGCACAGCTTCGAGCTGCATATGGTATGGGGGACCCACACTTCAAGGTACGACTAAGAAAACCACACACAACCCAGTTGAACCTTATCTGTGGACTGAGCCAGCGTTCTCTTCTCCATTTGCAATTAGACATGGATGAATGAGTGGTATGATTTCCATGGAGAGTGTGACTTGGTCTTCATCAGCAGCCCCGATTTTGATCAGGGAACTGGCTTGGACATCCACATTAGGACAAAGGGACGCAACCAGTATTCTTACATTGAGTCTGCTGTTGTTCGCATTGGGGAGGACACTTTTGAGCTTGGTGAATATGGTGGGTACATGCTGAATGGAATCTCCAATGCTGAGCTGGACAAGTTTGACAGATACACCATCAAGCACGAGAAGAAGAGCTCTAAGCAGGATATGTTTGTGATTGAGCTTGGTAGGGGCAAACAGATTGTCCTCCAATCCTTCAAGGACCTTCTTAGCATCAAGACAGTTGGTGCCTCCCCTTTGGAGTATGAAAACAGCAAGGGTCTTTTGGGGGACTACAAGACTGGCAAGTGGCTTGCCCGCAATGGAACAGCTCTGACAGATGCCGATGCCTTTGGAAATGAATGGCAGGTTTTGGAAAGTGAGCCCAAGCTCTTCCAAACACACCGTCACCCACAGCATCCTGTCACTTGCAATATGCCTAGTTTGAAGCAGGTGGGCCGTCGTCGTCGTCTTGGTGAATCCATTGCCCAGACGGCTGCCGAGAAGGTCTGCGAACACTGGGGAGACCAAAAGGATCATTGTGTCTATGATGTCATGGCTGCTGGAGATTTGGAGCTTGCAGAGGCTGGAGCTTTCTAGGCAGTGATCATTAGTGAAGCTAGCCACTTCCAGTAGCACGAAAATATGCAGCTAGCACTCCTCAAAGCTCGCTGAAGTTGGTGAAACGAAGCTGGAAGAAAAAAAGATGACGACCAAGCTGAAAATGAAGACGGGCTCTTTTGTCTCTTGTCATCTCATACATACTCCTTGAATAGGCTGCATTGAAGCTAGATATCAAATTTATTTTACTGCTATTGTTGCTGAACGGTCTCAGCTTTCTTCTTTTCCTTGGCCGCGAGTACATCACGCCGGAAAAAGTCCAGTGGAGGAGGGCCCGCCTCAATAGCTCCAGTAGTCGTCAAGTCATTATTGACCACGTACAAGTCCCAGGGAGCAATCCCAGCACAATCGAGTGCGGCCCAAATCTCTGGCTGAGCTGATTCTGGCGGCAACTTGCCGTCGGGAGTGCAAACCAAACCTCCCAGGTATTGCTGTCCCACCGCACTTGCTGCGCCTGCGTAGTGGAACACGATCCAAGACAGGTCGTCCGCAACTCCGGCAATCGTCCAGAATTCATTGCTTGTGATGCCATTGTCCAAGACCGAAAAGTAAAACGTCCCAGGGGTGGGTCCATCCCGAACTTTGTAATGGCGCTACAGTGATAGCGAAAGAAACAATCGTGGTTGAGAGGACCAAAGCAAGAAGCTTCAAGCCATGCATGCAATCAAACCAGAAGCATAGGACACGTTCGTACCTTGCACCACACGTTCCTTCCATCTATACATTCCACACGGAATACTGGATCATACCACATGTCCTTTCCACTGATGCCTTTGTAAAAGATCTAGAGTTGAGAGAGGAATGAGCTGCATTGAGTTCCAGGAGCCAACATATGGGGAGTAGGCCACACACGGCAGCGTAGCTCGCTAGCGATGCGCCAAGAATAAAGAACGAGGGTACTACGATTTCGAACATACCTGGTTTTGGGATGGGAACTGATCATATGCGACGTTGGCTCCACACGCGACTACCCAAGACACGTCGAGCCGTTGGCCACCCTGGATTTCATTTCAGAGAGAGTTGGTGAGGCAAAAATTGAATAGGTAAAAGAGCCATTCACTCTAATGGTGGTTCCACTACTTACAGTCGGTGCATCTTCATCGTCCAAGTGTCCAATCAAGATGGCTTGTCCGTCTTGTTTCGTCAATGGTTTCCCTCTCCAGGTTGTAATGGGTGCCACCTTGGGCAACGATGGAATGTCTGCATCACAATTGAAGATGTTGTTCTTTTGTAGGATACAAAAGCTGAAATCTCGAAGCAGCTCCGATTCATACGAAACAATGGTTCTGTAACTTGCCACTTGGTCGCTGCAACACAACACAAAAAAAGACAACCATGGTCAGTACACACGAAACAAACCAAAATGACGGTCACAATCTACTGTAGGTAGGACGCAACAACAACGAAACAAACAACGCACCGCGTATCAATTTCGGTCAATCGATCCAAGCATTCTTTGCATTTTTCATCCTGTACGCATTGGACGACACAGTCTCCACATTTGGATGCCATGGCGGCGAGTTCTTGTGCATTCTGGATGGGTCCCTTTTCCCATGTGGCATCAATGGAATGTTTGACCCAATCAATGGGTTGTTCGTGTGCTCCGAATTGATTGAAAAATAGCATAATGGCCACGGCATAATCGTCCGTAGTCCATCGCGCAAAGAGTCCCTGCATTTGTTCCTGCATGCGCTGCGCGGATGCGACCGTCGTCCAGGGCAGCCATTTCAGGGGTGACAAATCCTCTTGGTGATGTGGTCCCACCATGGGTGTCAGCCGTGATGTTTTGGCACTACCAGTACAATCGATGCCAAAGTGAGCTTGGTGATTCCGTCGTTCCATTCTGTTTCGTCGTCGATTGTCGAATACGCGTTGCGCAAATTGCAGGTCCTGGTCGGATCGGAGCCCCATGGCAATCACCACGTCAAATTCTTCTTGCAGTCTCTTTTGTAATGCTATATCATCACTATTGTTATTAATGTTTGGCGCCAAGATCAGTTCGGTGGTGATCTTGTCGAGCGAAAAGTGGGTCGTCTTGCGAGCCAATTGTTCCGCCGCATCCCACACGGGAGGACACCCCACGGGAGACTTGTCACCAAATCGAGAAAGCACACTATCGGCGGCACCTTCGGAGGGAAGCAGGATTGCCACGCTGCCAATCACATCATCGTCACTACTGGTACTTGTTGTTGTTGCCATGAAGACGGTGCCGACATGATGGTTTCTTCTCAAAGTACTGGTAGTGGTACTGGTAGTAGTAGTGGTGGTGGACGATGAGTCAGCTTGGATGGAGACCTTCCCAAGTGGCGGCAGAGCAAACGCCTGGACTCTCCCACACCAACCGACGAGATACAACAACGCCACAGCCCAGCTCTTCCGCCACTTTCCTCCACCAAGTCTTGTCATTGGCATCAACAAACTTTTCGGCTCGCCAAGAACAAGGTCGACGGGATGTCTGCTTCTAAACGATTGGGAGATTGTGAATGGACAAAAATGGCAAAGGCGGGTGCCTCGAACGACGTGTCGATCTTCCGTGGGAACGGTACTCAAAGGTTTAAAAGTGGCGGGGCGCGAAAAAGAATGAATGAGGGCAACCCACCATCACAACAAAACAACAAGCAAGGCAAAAGCGCTCTCCATAACAACCAACATACTATAGTAGTGCTCATGATAAGCAACAATCGATCCGGCAATGACTGTCACTCTGGTTAAAGAAATATAGTTGGAACTCTTTTAGGTGGAGAAGTAGTGAAAGCCTGACAATCAACGAAAGAGATAGAAGCACGACAACTGCTTCATTCGGTACACCATCCAAGGACCTGGTACGGTACCGAAAACACTCGGAACCTACCAACAAGGCCAGCAGAATTATAATCTGCAATAGCTAGAGCCAACCAAGTGAGGAGGAAGAAGAGAATATCAAGAAAGAAGAGAATTTGTCAAGAGAGCAAACGCTCTAGCTCGGAAAATCTGAGGTTCATTTATTTTTACCTGATTTGAGCCGAATTCTTACTATATAGTGCTCAACTACTGAACTACTCATCAAACTATCCAACAATGAGTTTCTTCTTTGGTGGACGTCGTTCTCCTCTAGGACCTCCACCCGATCCGGAGGCTTCCTCTTCCGACTCTTCTTCTGGATCGTCTTACTCCAGTCGCAGCAGCCGTTCCAGGAGCAGTTACAATTCTGCCAGTCAGAGGCAAGATCCACCTCAAGCTTCGACTGCGGCTCCTTCGGCCCAAGAATTGGAGGAAATTCGACAACTCTACATGGTGGGCACTCAAATTTCCGTACTCGAAGCCATGTATGATCCAGCCAGTGTGCGGGCCGTAGTAGACGCTGTGGAGCAAGAACGAAGCGGCAGTAGCAGGGCAGCCGCTGCCACCCAGGATGATGATAGTGGATCCAAATCAAAAAGCACACACAGCGGTGCCCCCAGAGATGACGACCAAGGATCCAGGGGTACCCGTGGTAGCAAGGCATCTGGGGGGACACGTGGTAGTGGCAGCAGAGGAGTAGAGGAAGGATCCAGAGGAACAGCTGGCAGTAGGGGAACACGTGCTAGTGGCAGCCAGCAGGGATCCAGAGGAACTCAAACTGGAAGCAAAGGATCAAGGGGAGCACACAGCGGAAGCAGAGGATCCAGACATACCCATCACGGTAGCAGAGATGACGAGTCTCGAAGGAGCAGATCAGAGTCTCGAAGGAGCAGATCAGACCATGATGATGATGATGAAACCAGTTATGATTCTAGATCTCATGGATCCGCTTCTTCCAGTGGATCATCAGGCTCTAGTAGCTATGATTCTGAAGGCTCCTATACGTCCCGTCGCTCCGATGAAGGGTCTTACACGTCCCGTCGCTCCGATGGTGAAGGTTCCTACGAGAGTAGACGACGACGACGACGTGATGACAATTCGCACAGTGCTACGGAACACTCACGACACACAGCCAGTAGTGGTCGTACCGGAGCAAGCCGTGGTCCGGACGAGAGCTTTACGGAACGACCAGGAGGGGACTTTACGGAAAGCAGTCGTACATCCACAGATCCACATCAACGACCACAACAAGGGGACGTCGTTGTTCTTGCAGACGAGAGTACTACTACTCGGACTTTGACAGATCCGCATCAGCGAACAACAACAATGGAGTCCAGTGGCTCGCACTATTCCGACACTATCAGGTCCGACACTTTGAGATCGGATCGGGGAGACTTTAGCGAGTCGCAACACACTGGAAGTACCAGAACAAAAGAAGACGACAGGGGAAGGGAGTCAGCCACCGCTGCTAGGACTGATCAACGCCGAGGGGGGCAAGGTGGACGACAAGCACAGCAAAGGGGAGATAGCAGTCGAGCTCACAGTCATCGGCAAGGTGACGGCGATTACTCACAACAACAACAAAGCCCACGAACTACGGGTCAACGAAGCGATCACTCTTCCATCACATCACCGAGTGGGCGATCTCAAAGCACCAGTGGCAGGGGCGCGGGACGGGGGCGCGGTGACCACGATTCTTCTGGCCGTGGTGGATCCTCGTCTTCTATTAGTGCGAGGCAAGCGGGTCAGCGGTACAGCGACAATAGCTCGAGTCATTCGCAAAGTCACCGTCCTCACCCACGGGATCACTCTGGTTCTAGTCCCAGCACCTTTGCATCTCGCAGCTATACCGACCACACGCGGGGGGATCAGACGACGGAAGGGGCAGCTTCGTGGCATACAGGCAGTCCTGCCTCTGGGACTGAAGCTCACTCATCACCGTCGTGGCACACGCATAGTTCCGAATACACTGGGCACAGTCGAGGGACAGCCGAGTCTCACTCGCATTCTCATTCGCGGTCCTACACGGAGCACACACGTGGTTCGGAATATAGCACAGATCGCCCTGACCAACAGGGTTCCTCGCCCGAGTCTTACACTCCAACCGAGACACAGGGGGAATCTCCTGATGGTTCTCCGTCGACGTATGCAGATTCAGCACACGTTGGAGCTGTGGCGGGATCACCGGATGCATCGTATCGTTCACCCGCCGCCAAACCACCCTCGCCGGTACTTTCTAGAACATCCTACAGATCTTCTTTTGACAAAGAAGAGTCTATTACAAAACCTCCTTCTCCAGTTCTTTCTCGAAAATCCTCCAAGTCTACGCCCCCTGCAAAGCTTCCGGCCGAAAAACAGCCTGCTTCTTCCCACAGTGAAGAACCGCCCCCCACCGCTTCCGTCCCACCTGCGTCACCGGAAGCAGTACGCAGAGCTCCTGAGGAAAAGTCACGCGGTGTTATCAAGATTCCCTTGGATACACCGGACGATGTGTCTTCCATCACCCATGGCAGCAGCGGTTCGCACTCAAACTCCGAGAGCTATAGTGCCCATACAAACAGCGATCTCATAGGTGACTCTATGCACCTCCAACGATGGACCGATGCCGCTGGAAATTCCGTACACATGCGATCAGGCGATCGTCTGTCTACTCGCAGCGATTCCCAGCACACTCGATCGGATCGATTGCTGGCGCATCGCCAACGGTCCTATGAACCAGACTCGGCACATTCACGTTCGTCCGTTACTCAACGTCTGTCGTCGCACTCACGACGCAGCGGTACCAGTGACCCCAACAGCGGCCATTCTAGAGGATCGTCCGCTGGAGTCTTAGGCTTTTTTGGATCCTTTTTGGGTCGAGGTGACGAAGCTGTCAAGAAGCAAGAAGTTGTAAGTCTGTTTGCCAACGAAGCTGAAATTCGCGCGTCCTTTGCTAGGGGTATGACTGCTGAAGAGCTTGAGGAGTACTTTGATTGGGAAGAGATTGCTCAGGTTCAAGACAAAATGGAAGAGGAAGAGGAGCTTTTGCAAGTTGCCGAGGCTATTCAAGGGGGGAACGAGGGTGGTTCGAAAGGGTCTGGCAAATTTGGCATTCCAACAGAAGTCAGTGTTGATGGGAGGGGTTCGACTAGCGGCAGTCCTTTCGGGAAAGATGACACATCAGAGTCCCGAGACAGCAGCTCCAAGCCTTCAGTGAAGCCAGTCAGCGAGCAAATTCTGGAGTTGTACAATTCTGGAACCACGCGGCAAAAGTTGGAAACAATATTCCACCCAAAAGAGGTGGCAGAAGCTTTAGGCAAAGGCGGCGGCGACGACGATCAGTCTAGCAGGTCATCAGATGATTCTGGTAGAGACCGCGGAGATGAAGAGAGCCACAAGGACTACGAGCTGCGGCTCATGCGTCGTCGCAAGAGGCTTTCCATGATTGTGGAAGAAATGTCAACCGACACGGAACATGACGCAAGTCGGAGAGGCTCGAACGTGGATGACAGTGAGCGACTGCTCCCAGCTTCGTCCTTCCGGTCTTCAGGTTCTGAGAGGCGTTCTCTCAAGCCCGCAGACGAGTCAGAGGAACAGTCGGGTTCTGACTCGAGTATGGGTAACGGGAAAAAGCGGAGTAGCCGCCCCTTGGATGACAGCAGCAGCAAGAATGACGGGGATAGTCACTCCAGTCGGTCTTCTGGGGCATCAAGGGCTTCGGGAGGCTCAGATGAAGCAGAATCATTTGCTATGCTGGCAAGAAAGAAGAGGCTATCAATGATTGCCGAGGCGGACGATGATACGGACCAAGATTCCAGCAAGAGGAGAGAGACGCTCAATGCTATTGCCGAAGACCTCAGTGCATCAGGTTCTTCCGCATCAGGGAAAGGGGATACCAGGAAAGAAGGGTCTACAGAACGTCCCTCTATATCATCTCAAGAAAGTCCCGAACGGGAACCAGGTGCTCAGTCTTCCAATCCACCATCGAGTGAGATTTCTGGTCGCGATGACGAGCAGAGTGCCAGCGTCCCTTCGGTTCGACCAGTTCATGAGCAGATCTTGGAGCTGCACAATTCAGGGACAAAGCGGGCAGTTTTGGAAGCTATCTTTCACCCGGATGAAGTTGCACGAGTGCTAGATGAAAGTAGCGACCACAGTGACGACGACGAAGAAAGCCTCTCCAGCGACGGGTCATCTGGATCAGGCGGGTCGACAAGTTCATCCGGTTCGTCGAGGTCCTCGGCGTCCTTCGACGAGACCAATTCTTTTTCATCTATAACCAAGAATATGACTCTGTCGATGATTGTTGAATTAGAAGACTCTACGGACACCGACCGCGAATCAAGTCAAAGGAAGGACAGAATGGGTGAAGCAGGGACGGATCGAGAATCAAGTCACCGAAAAGACAGAGCGGCTCTTGAAGCAATCGATGAAAGTCGGGTTCAGTCGACCGCGTCAGTGCCTCGGAGCCAGGAAGGAAAGGCAAGCAAGGCCGATGTTTCGGGAACAGTACCGCAAAGTTCGGCCGCAGGTGGTAGTGTCAAGTCCTTGAAAGAGCAAAGAAGCCGCAACGTTCCAGCTTCAAGCTCATCTGAGAAGGATGAGCGCACTCGACCCCACGATGAGACGACTGGCCACGCGGAACCCACCGAGGAAGCAGTTGCTGGTATTCAAATACCTTCCAGCATTGGCGCTACTTCTCACGCGTCGGCAAAGGGGTCGTCGAACGTTTCTAGCCCGATGGCGGTGGCAGCTAGAGGACTTGCTGATGTTGCAAATGCCCCAATCACGCGTCAGGGAGATGACCCTAGTCATGGCGACGATTCCGGCTCGAGCAGTGGAAGTAGCACCAAATCCGAGAATGGCAGTGATGCAGCTTCGGGCTCAGCTGGTGACAAATCAATCGAGATGGAGCTTGCATCTATAGATGTAAGCCGCCAGTCGTCGGATGAGGACGACGATGACGATGAAGAGCGCATTGCCGAGCTCTGGAATACAGAGTCACATCGCAGCAACAGCAATTTCTTGCGAAGTAGCTTTCACGCACTTCAAAGTTCAATCGTGCAACTTCAGCCACACCGGCCCAGTCTCGCAAGGAGGCCCTCCGTTGAGGAAGCTAAGCAAGCTGCCGCAGAAATCAACCTTGAATCCGACATACGCGGACTCCTCGACGCTGGTACTAAAGTCGAAACACTTGAAACCATGTACAGCCCAACAGCTGTTCGGAAGGTTCTCTCAAAGAAGGAAGCCGAGGCGGACCTCATCAAGATGTTGGATGACTCGTCTAAGGAGATTGCTTCGGATGAGAGGGAAACCATCACTATCAAAGAAGAATTCGATGCATTGAAGAATCGGTTGGCCGCTACGTTGTCCGAGAAAGAAAGCTTGCAAAGGGCCAATTCACTTCTTGAACAACAAAAGGAAGCACTCTTGAAAGATCAAGCCACGACACAAGAGCGATTGAAGAGGGTCATCGACGAGAACGAGCTTGTTAAAGCCGAGTGTTCATCCATGAAAAGAGAGCTCGACGAAGCTAAGAATGCAGCACAAAAGATGGCAAACATATCGAATGATATGAAGAAGATTGAAGTGGACCGTGATGAGGCTGTGTCCAGACTTGATCAAACGACTTTGGAACTTGAGCGGCTTACTGCCGAATCAAAGGAACTAGCCAAAACCAATGAAATGGCCGTGTCAGAAATGAAAGATCAGTTACTAGAGCTCCAACGAAGCAAGGATTTCACAGAGGAGCAGCTGGAGAAAGTGGTGGGGATTTTCGACAGTCTCAGAGAAGACAAGGATGCTGCTGTGCGAAGCCAACAAGATGCATTGGAACAAGTTCATGGGCTTCAGGCTGTAATAGCTGATCTTGAGGCTGCAACGTTTGCAGCAGAAGAGCAGCTTAAGGTCGTAGCAGAAGAGGGGGGGAACCAAAGCGCTGCTGACTTCGAAGAGCAACTTGCACTGTTGCAGAAGAAGTGTTCGTCATTGGAGATCGAACTGGAGAAGGCCAAGCAGGAACAAGCTGGGAAGAGTATTCCAGACCCATCTTTGGCCAGAGAACTTGAGGTTGGCAATGCCCACTCAGTGGACCATGATCCCTTGTATGGGCCAAGGGAACCAGAACCTGTAGACCCTGAAGAAAAGGGGAAAATGGGCAAGAAGAAGTTTGTCTCAAAAGATACACGCTTGAAGACTCTGGAGGCTGCTGTGGATGAGCAGGACTTACAACTACAGAAAACTCTGGTGGAAATGGAAGTTTTGAACTCAGAGAAGAGGTCCTTGGAGAAGAAGCTGGAGGCTCAAGATGAAGAGTTACAGCAAATCCTCCATGAGCTGGAAACACAAGGACTGGTAAGCAGAGGCGGTCCATCACCCAGCACAGTGGCTAGAGAAGGCGACCAACCAGAAGTCTCCACTAGTAGGAGCCTTCCTAAAGCAGAGCAGAAGGACCCATCGACTTCCACTGTTGATGGAGAACAGCAGGAAGCAGTTGTGGAAAGCAGGAGCATCCCCAAGGCTTCGCAAGGCAGCAAGGATGATTCAGAAGACACCCAGACGGCTATGGCTCAACTGACGGCAGATCACCAGGTATCTAAAGATCGGTTGGAACAGCTGGAACAGGACAAAGCCAAGTTAGAATCCCAAAAGGATGCACTTGAGGCTGATTTGGAGAGCATGAAGCAGAAGGTTGCTGTGCTTGAGGATGATGTTTCCAAGTACAGCAATGAAAGGGCCAGATACAAGGCAGAAATGGATGATCTTTTGCAGGCTAAGGATCAAAAGACTGAAGTGGATGCTGCCCTCAATCAGCAACTTGCATTGTTGCAGGAGAAGTGTTCGTCATTGGAGATCGAACTGGAGAAGGCCAAGCAGGAACTAGCTGGGAAGAGTATTCCAGACCCATCTTTGGCCAGAGAACTTGAGGTTGGCAATGCCCACTCAGTGGACCATGATCCCTTGTATGGGCCAAGGGAACCAGAACCTGTAGACCTTGAAGAAAAGGGGAAAATGGGCAAGAAGAAGTTTGTCTCAAAAGATACACGCTTGAAGACTCTGGAGGCTGCTGTGGATGAGCAGGACTTGCAACTACAGAAAACTCTGGTGGAAATGGAAGTTTTGAACTCAGAAAAGAGGTCCTTGGAGAAGAAGCTGGAGGCTCAAGATGAAGAGTTACAGCAAATCCTCCATGAGCTGGAAACACGAGGATTGGCAAGCAGAGGCGATCCATCACCCAGCACCGTGGCTAGAGAAGGCGACCAACCAGAAGTCTCCACTAGTAGGAGCCTTCCTAAAGCAGAGCAGAAGAAGGACCCATCGACTTCCACGGACACTGGAGAACAGAAGGAAGCAATTGTGGAAAGCAGGAGCACCCCCAAGGCTTCGCAGGGCGGCAAGGATGATTCGAAGGCTATGGCTCAACTGACGGCAGATCACCAGGTTTCTACAGATCGGTTGGAACAGCTGGAACAGGACAAAGCCAAGTTAGAATCCCAAAAGGATGCACTTGAGACTGATTTGGAGAGTTTGAAGCAGAAGGTTGCTGTGCTTGAGGATGATGTTTCCAAGTACAGCAATGAGAGGGCCAGATACAAAGCAGAAATTGATGATCTTTTGCAGGCTAAGGATCAAGAGACTGAAGTGGCTGCCAGGCTCAATCAGCAGCTTGAGGAAGCCAAGGGGTCGATTGACACTATGGAGGCAAAGGTGAAGTCCTCAGAGGCTATGGTTGACAAGCTGAAACAAGAGGTTGTGAGCTTGGAGGAAGATGTTTCCAAGTACGGCGATGAGAGGGCCAAGAACCAGGCAAAAATTGATGAGCTCTCACAGGCCATCCATTCGGAAAGAGAGAACTCTGCAAGCTTGAATCAAAAGCTAAAGGAGGCCATGGAGCAAAGAGACAATTTGGAGGCTCAAGTGAATTCCTCAGAGGCCATGGTAGACAACTTACGAAAACAGGTAGACAAGATAGAGGAGGAATCCACCAACTTTGGTGACGAGAGGGCCAGATACAAGGCAGAAATTGATGATCTCTTGCAGGCGAAGGATAAGGAGAGAGAAGTGACTGCTGGCCTCAATCACCAGCTGGAGGAAGCCAAGATGGAGATTGATACCATGGAGGCTAAGGTAAAGTCCTCAGAGGCTATGGTTGACAAGCTGAAACAAGAGGTTGTGAGCTTGGAGGACGATATCACCAGGTATGGGGATGAGAGGGCGAAGAACCAGGCAGAAATTGATGAGCTCTCACAGGCCATCCAGTCGGAAAGAGAAACCTCTGCAAGCTTGAATCAAAAGCTAGAGGAGGCCGTGGAGCAAAGAGACAATTTGGAGGCTCAAGTGAACTCCTCAAAGGCCTTGGTAGACAACTTGCAGCAACAGGTAGCCCATGTTGCAGAGGAAACCAACAACTTTGGTGATGAAAGGTTGAGTTACCAGGCGGAAATTGATAAGCTCACCCTTGCCAACCAGCAGGAGCGAGAAGCGGTTGCCAGTCTCAATCAGCAGCTGCAAGAAACCAAGGGGGAGATTGACACCATGGAGGCTCAATTGAAGTCCTCTGAGGTTGTGGTGGATGAGCTAAAAGATCAGATTTTGACTTTGGAGGAAGATATCACCAGGTTTGGTGATGAGAGGGGGGTGTACAAGGCCGAAATTGGTAAGCTCATGCAGACCAACCAGCAGGAGAGGGAAACCTCTGCAAGCTTGAATCAGAAGCTGGAGGAGGCTATCGGGCAAGGAGACACTTTGGAGGCTCAGGTAAAGTCTTCAGAGGCCATGATGGACGATTTGCGACAACAGGTTGCCAGCATGGAGGAGGATTCCACTAGGTATAGTGAGGAAAAGGCGAAATACCAGGACGAAATTGATGAGCTCACGCTGGCCAACCATCAGGAGAGAGAAGCATCTGCAAGCTTGAATCAGCAACTCAAGGAGGCATCAGAAAAGTTGATTCACAGCCAGGATAGAATGAACGACCTGGAATCCCAGCTTGGCGAATGGCAAGGCTTCAAGAATGATTTGGAGTCTGTTCTGAAAGTATCTGGCTCCAACATCATCAGCCTTAAAGAGAAGATTCTCCAGCTCCAATCAGATTGTGCTGATGCAGAGCAGGGCAACGAAAAGCACGCAGCAGAAATTCTTGTCTTGAAACAGGAGAAGGATGATCTAGCTTCGAAAGTTGATGTGACTTGCAGCGAGCTTTCGGCAGCCCAGGATGCTTTGGCTCAATTTGAGACTCAGATGAGCCAGGTGTCCAAGGAAAAGGAATCAATCTTTGCTCAAAAGGAAGCAGCATCAGTTCAAGTTGGCCGGCTAGAATCAGAGCTAAAGGATGCAACCAGTCAGATCTCAGTTCTAACTGCAGATCTTGATGGCAAGTCTAAAGATCTCCAGGAAGCACTGCTGCTGGCAGGATCCTTAAGAGAAAATATGTCAGAGAAACAGCAAAAGAAGGCCACTAACGAAGACATGCTAAGAGAAGCCAACCAAAAAGTCGCATCATTAGAGGCTGAAATTGAACAATGTGCATCTCGTGAATCTAAAACTGCAGAGCAACTTGCTGAATGCAAGGATTGCCTTGGAGCGATGGAACACTCAAGAGATGAGGCTCTGTCCAGACTGGACCAAATTAGTTTGGAAATTGAGGATCTCTCTGATGAGATAAAGGAGCTTGTTGCAATCAAGGAAATATTTTTGTCAGAAATGAATGATGCCAACACGAAAGTGTTAGCCCTGGAGGATGAGCTGGTGAAGCTCCAAAACAGTAAGGATTCTACAGTAGAGCAGTTAGCAAAGACTATGGAGGATTTGGACAGTCTCAGAGAAGACAAGGATGCTGCTGTGCGAAGCCAACAAGATGCATTGGAACAAGTTCATGGGCTTCAGGCTGTAATAGCTAATCTTGAGGCTGCAACGTTTGCAGCAGAAGAGCAGCTTAAGGTCGTAGCAGAAGAGGGGGGGAACCAAAGCGCTGCCGACTTCGAAGAGCAACTTGCACTGTTGCAGAAGAAGTGTTCGTCATTGGAGATCGAACTGGAGAAGGCCAAGCAGGAACAAGCTGGGAAGAGTATTCCAGACCCATCTTTGGCCAGAGAACTTGAGGTTGGCAATGCCCACTCAGTGGACCATGATCCCTTGTATGGGCCAAGGGAACCAGAACCTCTAGACCCTGAAGAAAAGGGGAAAATGGGCAAGAAGAAGTTTGTCTCAAAAGATACACGCTTGAAGACTCTGGAGGCTGCTGTGGATGAGCAGGACTTACAACTACAGAAAACTCTGGTGGAAATGGAAGTTTTGAACTCAGAGAAGAGGTCCTTGGAGAAGAAGCTGGAGGCTCAAGATGAAGAGTTACAGCAAATCCTCCATGAGCTGGAAACACAAGGACTGGTAAGCAGAGGCGGTCCATCACCCAGCACAGTGGCTAGAGAAGGCGACCAACCGGAAGTCACCACTAGTAGGAGCCTTCCTAGAGCAGAGCAGCAGAAGGACCCATCGACTTCTGTGGACCCTGGAGAACAGCAGGAAGCAATTGTGGAAAGCAGGAGCATCCCCAAGGCTTCGCATGGCGGCAAGGATGATTCGAAGGCTATGGCTCAACTGAAGGCAGATCACCAGGTTTCTACAGATCGGTTGGAACAGCTGGAACAGGACAAAGCCAAGTTAGAATCCCAGAAGGATGCACTTGAGACTGATTTGGAGAGCATGCGGCAGAGGGTTGCTGTGCTTGAGGATGATGTTTCCAAGTACGGCGATGAGAGGGCCAAGAACCAGGCAACAGTTGATGAGCTCTCAAAGGCCATCGAGAAGGAAAGAGAAACCTCTGCAAGCTTGACTCAAAAGCTAGAGGGAGCAGGAGGGCAGGATGAACTGAGTCGAACTAAAATAGCCCGGCTTGAAGAAAAGCTTGTTCAGCAGGGCAATGTTGAAGAACGAATGGATGATATGGAGGCCCAGTTGAAATCTTCAGAGGCCCTAGTGGAAAGCTTGGAAAAGAAGTTAGGAGAACTTGAGACCATCAATGCCAAGTTTGATGATGAGAAAGCAATCTACTTGGCCGAAATTGAACAGTTTACAGAGCGTGCAGACAATGAGAAAGAAACCTCTAAAGGTCTGAGGGTGCAATTGGAAGAGGCCAAGGGTCAACTACAACAACTTCAACAGGAAAAGGAGATCTTGGAAGAGCAGCTGTCTAAACAAGAAGAACTTGTGGTGAATAAGGAGGACCTCGAAGCCCAGCTGAGGTCTGCAGAGGCTCTCGTGAACAGCTCCCAAGAGCAGGTTTCAGGGCTGGAGCACCGCATCAACCAGATCAATGATGAAAGAAAGAGCCACCAAGACAAAGTAGATGAGCTTACGCAGTCCATCAGAGAAGAGAAGGAACTTTCCTCTGAGCTGAGGCAGCAACTGACGGAAGCTACTGAGCAAATGAGACAGATCCAGCAAGAGAGCTTGGAGTTGAAGACCAAGCTTCTGGAACGTGAGGATCTGAGAGGTGTTTGTGAAGGTTTGGAGGCTGACGTGAAATCAAAAGAGACACATGTTTCAAAGTTGGAGCAAAGGCTTGAAGAGCTGGAGGAGGAGAGAGGTAGCTTTCAAACGAGGATGGATGATCTGATTCACTCCAAGGAAGCATCCAGTAGTTTGCAGCAACAATTGGAGGATGCAAGGCAAGATTTGAATGGGATTCAGCTGGAGAAAACCAATTTGGAAAGCCAGCTTCAAGAACAGAAAGGTCTCCTTGCAGAGAAGGAATCCCAAGAGACTCTTGTAACCAGCTTGAGAGGAAAGGTTGCGAAGTTGGAGGAAGATGCTGGTGTGTTGGAACATGCGCTGGAGAGCTGCAAGACAAATCTGAAGTTCATTGAGAAGGAAAGAGATGATGTGGTTAGGCAGAAAGATGGTGCCACCAACAGACTTCAGTCACTTGTAGCTGAGGTGGCTGAAGTAAGGAATGCCAAGTTGGAATTGGAAGATGAACTTGATGCGGCTAACGGGCAACTTCAGCTCTTGCAATCAGAAAATGCCGAGATCAAATCAAGCTTCGATCTTGTAGAAAAACAGCTACAGGAAGCGAATTCCAAAAGCGATGGTTTGGCCAGTGAATTGGAAACAGCCACAAGCAAATTATTGGCAGTCAATCAGAGACAGAATGCCCTGTTGAAAACATCAAGGGGCGAAGCAGAAGTGGAGCGCAGAAAATCACTTCGTGTGATAGAGAAACTCAAGCTTGATATGGAAGAGGCCAGCAGCCAACAGAGGCAGCTTAACGAAGAAGTTGAAAGGACAAAGGCTGATCAAAAGGAACTTCTGGATGGAAAGAATGTGGCTGAAAGGGAGCTTGCTGCAATGGAGTCACAAAAGGATGACTTGGATTCTCTTGTGGCTGGGCTTCAAGCTGCAAAAGCAGATCTAGAATCCAGACTTCAGCAGGCACAAGGGGCCACCAAGAGTCTTGAGAGCAATATCCTCGAAATGAAACAAGAGAGGGACAGGGGTCACCATCACATGAATGAGATGAAGCTTCAGTTAGAGGAAGAAGCCAGAAAATCTGAGAAGGCTGTTGCTGATGCAATAGAATTGACTGCTGAACTGGAGGCAAGAAAAGAGGAAGTCAAAGAGTTGAAACTTGCCAGAGATGAGGCAGTCGTACAAAGGCAAGAAACAAGTGAAGCAATCCGCAACCTCCGAGAAGAGAATGCTGATCTTGATGAAGCACGACTCGATGTGGAGAGTGAACTGAGTAACATTAAGGCAAAGCTGGAAGATGCATTGCAGGAGCTCTCTAACGTCCAATCGGAAAGGTCAGAAGCAATCACCAGTCTGGAGCAAACTAAGGCAAGGTTGCTGGACCTTGAAGCAGAATTGTCTGATCTGAAGGCATCTCATACTGCACTGAAAGAGCAGCTTGACAATGCAGAGCAAAAGTTTCATGACCTCAAGCTTCAATCAAATCTGGCTGGCAACGCTCAAGAAAATATGCCAACAGCTGCCAGGAGTCTACCTCAGGAATCAGACGAGGAAAAGGTTGAACTCAAAAAGGCAATTCAGGATAGGAAGGACGCTGAGCTTGAAAAAGCCCGTGCTCAAGAGGCTGCAAATGTCTTGGCCTTGCAGGTGGAGCAGCTGGAGTCTGAGCTACTCAAACAAGAAAGTGTCATGCCATCAGTGGCCGCTGGTGACCTGGATGAACCTAAAGGAAGGCAGCAGCAGTTGGAAGATAAAGTTGGTCATCTCCAAGCGTCAATGGTAGGGCTTGAAGACGATCTCAAGGAAGCCCACGCAAACAACCACACTCTCACACTTGAAAGGGATGGTGCATTGGAACAGCTACAGTCCTTTGCTTCCAAGCTCAAGATTCTTGGGGTTGAGTCTTCAGTGTTGCAAAATGCTAGATCTGCCGCTGCTGCTGATGTGAACAAGGCAACAGAGAAGATCAAGGACTTGGAAAACCAACTGGCTGCTCTTCAAACTTCTGAGGATGCATTGAGAGAGGAGTCAGAGAAAGCACAGGTGTACATCAAGAACTTGGAGCTGGAAAGGGATCAAGCCCAAGAAGACCTTAAGACAAGTGCTGGAGCTGCGACTGACGATGAAATGGAGAATGCAAAGAATAAGATCAAGGACTTGGAAGACCAAGTGACTGATCTTGCAGTGTCTGAGGATGCCATGAGACATGAGTTGGAGAAAGCAAAGAATCACATTGTGGAACTAGAGCCGTATCAGTATCAAGGCAGATCCTTGGATGCCTTAACAAAAAGGCTTGAAGAGGTGGAATCAAACCAACAAACCCAGGCACCACCAGTGCAGGGTAGGACTACAACGTCCATTCATAGACTTGAAGATGCCAATGATGACATCCAAAGACTTCAGGAACCACAAGCAAATCTGAAAGCATTGACAGAGCAGAGGGACCAAGCTCTACAGAATGCAAATGCCTTAACCTCTCAGTTGGAGCAGCTGGAATCCAACTTGTCCCATCAACAACATGCCAATTCACTTGTAAAGATTGACCTTGATCAAGCCAAAGAGAGGCAGCAACAATTGGAAGAACAAATTGGTAAACTCGAAGCTGCTCTGGTTGGGCTGGAAGATGAGCTCAAGGAAGCCCAAGATGACAACCACACTCTCACACTTGAAAGGGATGGTACCTTGGAACGGCTGCAGTCCTTTGCAGCGAAGCTCAAGAGTCTAGGGGTTGAGTCTTCAGTGTTACAAAGTGCTAGGTCTGCTGCTGATGATGAAGTGAACACTGCAACAGAGAAGATCAAGGACTTGGAAAGCCAACTGACAGATCTTCAAGATTCTGAGGATGCATTGAAACAGGGGTCGAAGAAAGCACAGGTGTACATCAAGAACTTGGAGCTGGAAAGGGATCAAGGCCAAGAAGACCTCGAGGAATTGAACAGAAAGCTGGAACAGACTGAATTAGACTGGTCAAAGCAGCTGTCAATGGCCCAAGCTGAGCTCGAGGAAACAGAGCGAGTGATCATTGAGCAGGTCAATCACCTTGATGCCACTTCTGGTGATTTCGAAGAAGATCTACGGCAAACACTGCTCAATTTGGAAGCTATTAAACTCGAAAGAGATCAGGCCCAGGACAGTGCAAGGGTTTTGTCAAGTAAGGTGGCTAACCTTGAATCAAAATTGTTGCAAGAGCAAACAGTTAGATCACTTGCCAATGAAAAAGCAGATGAAGCTGCTACCAAGAAAATGAAGGACATGGAAAACCAACTAGCTGATCTTCGTGCATCTGAGGATGCCACGAGGCTTGAGTACAATAAAGCAATGGGTGACATCAAACTTTTGGAGTCAGAAAAGGACAAGAGCCAAGAGGCGATGGATGTGTTGACTACACAGTTGGTAGAGTTGCAGGGAGACAGGTCAAGCCAGGAGGCCGAGCTGGCATTGGCTAACAATGACCTCGAGGAAGCCAAGCACATGGTGGAGGACAGAGTGGCCCAACTTGAGACCACCACAGATGATTTGGCGGAGGAACTCCAGAGCACTCTGGACAATTTGCAGGCGTTACAGCTTGAGAGAGATCAAGCCCAAAAGAGGGTCAAGTCTTTGACTGCAAAATTGGAACAGCTTGAAGCTGGGATGAGTCCCCGGGGTGCACGGTCGATTGAGGCAACTGACAAACTAGATCAAGCCAATGTGAGGCAGCAAGAGCTGGAAGAAAAAGTTGCTCAATTCCAAGCTGCAATGGTTAGCTTGGAAGATGAGCTCGAAGAAGCTAAAGAGAGCAACCAAACTCTGACACTTGAGCGGGACAACACTTTGGCACGGCTACAGTCCTTTGCAGCCAAGCTTGGGGATCTTGGGGTTGAGTCTTCAGTGTTGCAAAGTGCTAGATCTGCCGCTGATGATGAAGTGAAAAAGACAGCCAAGAAGGTCAAGGACTTGGAAAGCCACCTGGCTCATCATCAAGCTTCGAAGGAAGCCATGAAACAGGAGTTGGAGAAGGCAAGGAATCGCATTTTAGAACTGGAGCCATATCAAGACCAAAGTCAAACCTTGGACGCCTTGTACAAGAGACTGGAACAGCTGGAAACCAACCGACCAACTCAGACTCCCAGAATCCTGGCTGGAGGTACAGGTACAATACAAGAACCTGAAGCTGCCAATGATGACGTGCATGATCAACTCCAGAAAACACAAGCAAATCTGAGAACAACAACAGATGAGAGGGACCAAGCTCTGCAGAATGCAAATGCCTTGGCCTCTCAGTTGAAGCAGCTGGAATTCGATTTGTCCAATCAACGACAGGCCAATTCACTGGCGAGGAATGACCTTGATCAAGGCAAAGAGAGGCAGCAGCACTTGGAGGAACAAGTTGGTCAACTCCAAGCTGCACTGACTGGGCTGGAAGATGAGCTCAAGGAAGCCCACGATGACAAACACACCCTAACGCTTGAAAGGGATGGTACTTTGGAGCAGGTACAGTCCCTTGCAGCCAAGCTCAAGGATCTTGGGGTTGAGTCTTCAGTGTTACAAAGTGCTAGGTCTGTTGCTGATGATGAAGTGACCAATGCAACAGAGAAGATCAAGGACTTGGGAAGCCAACTGGCAGATCTTCAAGCTTCTGAGGATTCATTGAGAATGGAGTCAGCGAACGCGCAGGAGTACATCAAGAAGTTAGAGCTGGAAAAGAATCAAGGCCAAGAGGTTTTAGAGGCACTGAAGTCAAGACTAGAAGAACTGGAAGAACGAGCACCGGGCCAGAAACAAGAAGTGCATGAAGGCAACGAGAAAGCAACTACAGTTGGAAGTATCTTGGAGAAGCAGCTGGCTGGTGTGCAATCAGCATATGCTACTTTGAAGAAAGAACTCGACGAGGCTCGTTTGAGGGCTCACGGAACAAGCAAGCAATACGAACAAGCTGTGGAGAAGCTTGCTGCAACGGCTGATCAGCTAAAGAGTCTAGAGGTTGAGGCATCGGTGCTGAAGGAATTGAAATCTGAGAGGGAAGCACAGCTTAAAGAGACGGAAAGTACGATGAGGTCGTTAGCATCTGAGAACTCAAGTCTTAATGTTAGCAAGGCTGTTCTTGAGCACCAACTGAAAGAAGCCCAAGACGCCCTTGTTGATGCGAAAATTGCAAAAGCTAGCCTGGCAGATGAGCTGAGAACAGCACTGGAAAATGCATCCAGCGTTGCAACACCAGCCCAGATCAACACGGCAAGATCCTTCCCTGGAGCTGACGCTCCAAGAAAATTGAATGCCAATCTCGAACATGAAGGCGCAGCAATTCTTCGAAATCAGCTTGAGACTTCCCAGCGTGAACTTGAAACTTTGAAGATGCGATCAGAGAAAATGGGAAGGGATCTAGCAAAATCAACATTGCAGGAAACTGAATTGAAAGCGCAATTGGATCAATTGAAGAACCAAGTTGCTGAGGCGAAGGAAAGAGTTTCCAAGAACACGTTGTTCAAAGACGACTTGTCATCAGCAGAGGAAGAGAATCAAGCACTTCAACGGAAGCTCGATCGGGCACTCAAGGCTCAGAAAAGCTTGGAGAACACTGCAGAACGGTACCGGAGGTCAATTCCACAATTGGAAACCGAGCTTCAGGAAGCTCGCGACAGGCATGAAATGTCAGAGCGAAAAAGTACTGAGTTACAACGCCGTTATGGTGATGAAGTGCAAACCTTGCATGGCGAAAAAGAGAGCCTGCAAAACGATGTTTCCAAAATGTCCAAGGAACTAGAGAGGTTGCGGGCAGGTGCTCGCGATTCTGAAAGCTTAGTTGAGAAGTACCGTGGGAAAATCAGGCAGCTTGAAGAAGAAGAAGCCGAAACACGGCAAGAAAGGGGGAGCTTCAAGCCAAGCCGTGAACCATGGAAGGAGCTTAGTGATGACCTTGCCCTAATGAAAGCTCAAAAGGACTTAATTGAGGTAAATCTTGCTGAAAGCGACCGTAAGCTGGCCGTCGCACAAAACAAACAGCAAAAGACCGATAGGCTTCTTGAGAAGTACCAAACGACAATCGCTCAGTTGGAAGAAGAATTAGGCAATGTCCAACGGGAAAGGGACATGTTCCTTGAGCCCGATAGCAACGACTCGAAGGAGCTTGAAAGCGTCAAGGCAGAACGGGATGAGCTTCAGGTGGCGGTCTCTAGACTCCAAGAACAACTTTCAGAGGCCAATGGATCGATCGTCGATACGCGAGAGGCTTTGTTATTTGAGCTTGCGGAACTTCAGGATGCCACAACGGAAACGGAGCTCCAGGTCACTCATACGGTGGAACAACTGAAAGGTTCGCTGTCGTCTTCACGACACGAACAGGAGCTTGCACAGCAGATGCTTGAGCAATTGAAAACTGCCCTTTCTTCTTCACAGCAAGACAAGGAGCGCGCTCAACAGAGCATGGAGCAGTTAAACACTTCCCTTTCTTCGTCACAGGAAGAAAACCAACGTCTACGAGACGATATCAAAACTATGAAGGAAGCTGCAAATAGCCAAGCGGATAGAATTCGAGCTCTCGAGGACGAAAAGAAACGATTTGACCATCTCCGCTCCGATCTTGATGAAGTCCAAAAAGAAAAGGAATTGCTGAACAAAAAGCTGCAAGCACTGAAGGACGAGATTTCAAAACTCGAACGTTCAAGCAGCAAGACGAAGAGACAACAAGAAACAGATCTAAAGAAAATGGCCGAGGAATTGCGTGGGATTGAGGAAGACAACCGTGCTCTAAAAAAGGTGTCAGAGGTTGCCAACGAAAAAGCTGCCGATCTAACCGAGTCTCTCGCAGCTCAGAAACGAGACAACAAGAAATTGCAAGACGAGTTGAAAAACATTGCAAGAGAAAGCGCGAAGCACAAGAATTCTGCTCAGAAACTCGAGAAGAGCATCCAGGAACACGTAGCATCTGCTCAGAGGAAAGCAAAGAAGTTAGACAAGGCAAAAGCTGAGACGAAGCAAGTGAGGACAAAGCTAGAGCGACGCGATCTTGAACTCGAGGAAGCTCGAGTGGCACGTGATTCAGCTCAGCAATCTCTGAAGGAGCTTGAATCTCTCGGGGAGGGCAGTCGCAAGAGCAACGAAAAGGAATCAAGAACCAACATTGAAAAACTTGACAAAGTCACAAAGGATTTGATCTTGTCTCAAAAGGAAGGCAGGGAAAAGGGGCGGCAGCTGGAACAAAAGGATAGACGGATTGACCAGCTTGTGGCGGAGATGCGTGGAATGCAACAGACTCGCTCAAAGGAGGCTGAAGCGATGAAAATGCAAATAGCATTGCTAGACGAAAGGGCAGAAGGATTGCGCCGGGCATACTCAGACGCAAGTTCGGCCAGAAAGAGTTTGGATGAGCAGCTGAAAGAGGCTAGGGATGAGAATGATCGTTTAAAAGACGAAGTCGCCTCTTTTGCTTCGGGTGAAAAAGTGCGCAGTCGCGAAGTCGAATTGGCAACTCAGGAGCTCTCAACCAGGGCAGAGCAGCTAGAGAATAAACTGGCTTCTGCTGAATCAGAGCGAAACGACTTGTCTAAGCAGATAAAGGAAGCTCGGAATGCTCTTGGAGTTGCGTTGGAAACGGCCGCTGCGGCGCAATCTGCCCTGGAGAAGGCAGAATGCGAAAAGTCCGCCACTGTAAAGGGTTTGGCGGAGATTCTCAAAGTTGCCAAAGGTGGCGCAGAGCTGGGCAAGCGGAGACGAATAGACGGAGAACAGCAGGACCCGCTCGATCTAATTGCTGAGTTGAAGACTTGGGTCGACAATGCAGCTGCCTGCCAAGAGGAAGCCATTAAAGCTGGGTTAGAACTCGAAGCTGCTCTTGAAGATTCGCACGAATACTCAAGGGAGCTACGAAACACTGTGGAAGCGAAGAATGACGATTTGATCAAACTGCGCGGCACCTTCAATGCAGACAAAAAGGAGCTCATGGCGCAACTGCTACAGCTGGAAGGCGTGGTTGATCGTGTCGCCCGCGAGAACACAAAAACGATTGAAAAGCTTCGTAAGGAGCTCGGCGTCGGGAGGCTGGAGGCGCGTGATCTCCGTGACGACCTTGATTCTGCGAAGAAGGATGCCGGCGAACTGCGCGAGGAACTCGATGCCGCGCAAAATGAGGCTAAGGGGCTCCGAGGTGAGCTGGAGAGTGCCAAAACAGCGCTGGAGGAGACTTTCCGTGACAAGGAAACTCTGGAGAAAGACTTGATTGAAACGAAGGCCAGTTTGGAAACTCTGCAAGCCAAACATATCGAGTCTGAGAACGATATCAAGAATCTACAAAAGTCACTTCATGACATGGACGAAGAGAACAAGGCTCTGAGATCTTCCTTGGCAGAGTCTGATGCTACACTGGCGGCTCTGAAAGATGAACATTCCAAGCTTGTCGAAGAGCATGATGCGCTCCAGACTAACCACCGCTCTACGGAAGAAGACCTGAAACAATCGCTTGAAAGAGCAGACGTGCTAGATGCTGAAAAAGAGGCACTGCAAAACTTCCTGGACGAAATCGTTCAAGAACGGGATGACACCGTGAAGCTGAAGGGCGCGTTAGAGAAGTGCTTGGATGACGCCAGAACGTCTGTTGGGGCATTGAAACAGAGTGTTGCGATGCTTGACTCGGAGTCAAACCGTCTTAATAATGTGCTGTCGAGTAACTTGCCCAACAGAGCAATCGAACGTGAACACGGAGGTAAGTGAAACGAGCTGCACCAGGTCTACTTTACCCTTTTTCATCATGGCCAATGACTTACTTTGTAGATGCAGATGATTCCCTTGGAGACACAGAAGTCCGAGAAGACGCTGAGGAACTTCAGCAGAGAACCGCTTGGAAGCCCATTGGCGTGCGAGGGGAAAGTAGTGCCTCCGCTGGGGACAACCCCATTGGTTCTGATCATCGAGGGGAGGCCAATGTTTCTTCTAGTCCTGCCAATTTCCGAGCAGAAAAGAGGAAACGGCAATCTTCTGGTCCTTCCGTGGTAAAAAGCAAAAGGATACCAAAATCTGGCAAGGCTTTGGCAGCAACCAAAGCAAAGGGCGCAGTGTCCGCATCGAAGAAGAGACCAGGAAGAGTAGCAGAGCCTGGACGTCACTTGTCTCGTCAACCAGAAGTTTCACATGGAGATACCGCTGGAGTTCCATCCGTTCGAAGGATGGAATCGGCCGACCAGAGGAGCGCAGCTGCAACTGCATCTCCTGGAGATGATGCTTCAAACCCAGCAACTTCCCGGTTGGAAACACCGCATGAGAGAAGCGGCGTTGCCGGGGATGGTTCTCTGGAACAAAGTGCTCCAAGGTTGGACGCGTCAGTTGCGCGCGATGCGGTTACGACTGTTGCTTTACAAGAAGACGACATCTCGACCGTTCTAACTGGACCTTCAACGAGTGAACAGCGTTCATCATCTAGGGATAGACGAATCGACACGCCTCGTCAAGGAAACAAGAGTCGAAAGGATGCAATCCAGCGGTATCCACTAACGGAAGCGAGAGACAGTGCCAGGCGAACTGCCCAGTCGTTGACGCCGTTGTCGAGATACGAAGCTGAAAAAGCGTCATACGTGCAGCAGCGGATGGCAAAATCGGCTGCTGGTGCTCCATCACAACAGCGACAATCTAGGCTCTCCGACGGAAGGCGTTCAGATGCCTTCGCACCTGTAGCGGACCCATATTCGTATCGCAGTTCGAGGATGTCATCAGGCAGACCAGCTAGCCGACCAATCTACAATTCCATGATTCATGATCCCTACTACTCAATGGCAGATGATCGGCGTGGTGGTGTCCATATTGACCCTGAAGTGTTTGACTCGCCTCAGAACTACAGGAGGACTCCTGCAGGTCGTCGGTATGTACCGCACCGAGGTCCGTCCCATGGTGGCGACTACGATCGGCCAAGAGAGTGGCAGCGACGAAATCCCATGATAGCAGCCCCTGAATCTGTTCGCCCGCCACGCCGACCCTACACGTCGTCGAGAACCTCCTCTTCTCTACGGGATCGACAGGGCTTTGGAGACAGGGACACACATCAGCCACGTACCGGTAGAACCGGCGTTTCATCGTCGTCGTTGCGATCGGATCCAGGAAGATCAATGAGTCCAAGCTCTCGCCCACTACGACGGCCCAAGAACCCCAACGCTCTCACACTTGCGCTGGAAAGTATCTGCGACCCATCCGCCGTGGCTGGGTTTGAGAGCGGCTCTCGTGGTGGCGCTGCTGCTGCCAGTGCGAGTTCCAGCACGAGCACGCCGCGTCACGACCCACCTACCCGCGGGGGCAAGGAGAGTTTGGATGTCTCTGGAGACTATCAAGACATGTGGGAAGACACCCGTTCGAAAATGGACCGAGTATTGAACAAGTTGGACGAGGTACGATGGAAGTCACTGGCTCTCGTTTGAATGAAGAAAGCATGGTGGTACTTGGGAGTGTTTGTGATGACCTCGGATCCTGAGAAAAACGGGGTGTGTTGGAGTCTCGTCGCGTCTAAAGATAGGTAATGTTCTAGCTAGTAGTCTAACGGAGTAGTTACAGATGGATTTGAAACACCTGCGAAGTCCCAATTTGAAAAAGATAGTGTCGATGTCGATGTCGATGTCGACGTCGACGTGCGGCTTGAGTCAGAGAGGTGCCAAGCAGAAGTCATCAGCGTTCTATTTAGAAAACTGCAAAGCGGTCCTTCGTGTAACCAAGCAATCTAGGTTTGTTGGCAGCTATAGCTAGCTTTCATCGGCTGTTCCATTGATGCAAACAAAGTTGAAAACCAGATGCTAAGTTGGACCGGGCCAGCTGTTGTCGCGGTCCCTTCAAGCTACCGTCATCTCTTGCTCCCAGGACCCTCGGAAGTCGTCAGAGGATCAGTTGTGCAATCAGTCCATCTGTTTTCTATCGAACAGATCCGCCTTCCTAGTCTACACTTGGGTGGTGGGTTTGCGAAATATCTGCTTGACTCCCTGCAAGATGAACACCAGAGAAGCAACAAGTGAGCTCCAAAACTTGAAGGCTATAGGAAACCCACTACTAGCTAGCAAGCTCTATCTGGACATACCTCTAGTGGCTCTATATCCCAGCTTTCCTTGTGCTCTGTGATTAGGAAGGTTTCACTGTCAATGGTGTAATCCACGCCTTTGGGAGAAATCAGTTGGCGAGGTTAGATGATGCACAAGGACAAGCATGCTTTGACAGAAACAAGAAAAAAGCACACACAAACAGTCCTTTGCTTACCCCAAGGCCACGCCAAGACTGGTTTCCATGGCAACGCCAATTCCAGTTTGACCATGCATTTTGTCTTGACATAGAGGGGATCTTTGGCTTCTGTCGTGATTGGTTTGACACTGTACTTGGTAATGAAGGATCCTAGATTGGCCAAATTTTCAATGAACCGATCCCGTCCCGCAAATGCCACAAAGGGGTCGCTAAAAACACACTGTTCATCGTAAATGAGGGCATCTACCTGGCCCGACAAAAAGTAGGATCGATTGTAGTCATCCAAGATGCGCTGCAGAGTTTCTTGCGCAGAACTTGGTGCCTTGTCCATGGAGTAATCTATCGAATCTGCCACCTCATTTTTCTTGTCTTTGTCGGCGGACCCAAAGACCTTGCCAAATGCTTCCACAACATACCAGGATGTCTTGGAAAGTGCGTCCACTGCCTTGTCGTCGTCACCATCCTTGTTGGCTCGGACAATCAAACTCAGAGGTCGTCCTGGAGCTCCAACCGGGGCAAATGCCAGGGCAGCGGGAAGATTCAAGAGGATGACAACCACACTGAAGATCCAGCATGGCAGCTTCTTGGGAGCTGTGGATTTGTCAGCTCTCATGTTTGCTTGGGTGCTCTCCTGTTGTTTCTCACAGAGTCCGATCAAATACTGATAATACCACCGATAGCCAGCTAGAGAGGGAGTGTCTTGGACTGCGTTGCCACAAGCGCCATGGTCGCATTTGGTCGAGGTCGCAAACGTCATAGTTCTAAAACACAGCAGAGCTGTGGAGTCGGGTCCAGTCTTCCACAATTACATGTATCCTTCTTCCTTTTTTTCAAGAGATGGAGAGAGAGGAAGTGACAAAAGAGCAAGCAAATGATGCACCCAATCATCACTCCAGAGACCTACAATGCCGCTGAAGCTTGGTCCGACAAGATACTGTCGGATCATGATGTAGTCTACAATCCAGCCAGGTTGGATCAGGCCGTGAAAGCCAAGGCGCTTCAGATTGATTTTCCTTCCACTGTGTGTACTGTAGTAACAAGACCAGACAAACCAATGATGACAATAAATGACGGTGAGCCATCACTTTGATTCTCACCTTTTGGGTTTTTCTTCTTCTTGTAACAACATTATATTTATTAGGCATTGATGGCCCTTGTTCGAAATGTATCTGTGAATCACATCAAGAGGACCGCCCCAGGAATCAAACGACAAGTATCTTTCTTTGTGAAGCAATGGTACCAACAACAAGGCTCGATCCTGCAGTTGGCCAGGGACCTGAATTACAGTCCCTATTTGCTGGCCCGGGGCATGGCAGAAGAAATTTGTGCATTCAAGGGAAACAACAACACAAAAAAGAAATTGATTGCGGAAGCAATGAGAGACCCAGAAAATCAATTAGAATTGAATGTGGAGAGCATTGGGGCACACTTTCTGGTGGCCACAGAAGTAACATTGGGCTGTAATAAGACTGACGAAAAGAGTAATGACCAGGAAAAGTATGTATGCACCGTTGTTTCGTTGGATATTTGTGTTGATACTGAAGACAGTTCACGCCACCATTCCTTGTATCTATTTTTTATATTTACTGCACACAGACAAAAAGCAAGACAGGTGACAATGAGGTTGGCCAGGGATGTTCGAGAGGCCATTGATTTTGATCCATTTTACGGACCTATGCATGACAAAGAAAGATATCTTGTGGGTATTGAATATGAAGTAGTCCTCGAGCAACAGTTGAAGGTCCTCGGTACGTACATCTTAGAACTGAAGCACAAGACAGATGTGGCTTTCTGATCATATTCTATTTGTGTTTTCACAAGAATAGGTATCCCCTTTGAAACGGAAGAAGCATTGCGTGGCCTTGGGACTTCTCGAACTCCAGATATTCTGCTACAATGTCCCATGTCTGTTCAGGTGCGGAAAGTTGATGGAACAGGCTTGGAGTGGAAGATGATTTCTTGGATTGACTCAAAGGTGCGTCGTCCAGCCATGGCAAAACTCGCAGAACAGGCAGCAACTCAAAAGAAGAATTTCCCTCTTGCTTCTCCTCTTTCGACTACCTATCGTCAGGCCATGTTTGGTGATGTCAAAACGCACCAGTCGTCGGTTCTCCCCCAAACCGAAGCATATGTCCATCGACACGGACCTGGGATGGTCCTCTATTGGTTTGGCCATGCACCCTTGGTAATGCTCGACAACTCGCAGGGAGATATTGTCATTGTAGGCTGGGATTTGCCAGAACGTTGGATGTGGCCAACAGGGGAGCTGTTGAAAAACAACAATTGAATCAACAGAATCATTTTTCATTTCTAGCTTTGGACAACTAACTATGGACAATGAATTTAGCTAATATGCCATAAAATTTGTGCAAATATGCAAACAGGCTTGGCGGTATCTAGCCTACCGTATCTATAGCTAGCTCTCGCCCGTTTCTTGTTGGTCTTGCTGCATCATCAGCATGGCCTCCCTGTGGTCACCTCCTATCTCCTCGATAACTTGTTGCAAAGGCTTGTCCATGGCATTTGGCACAGCCTTGGCACATGCGGGTTCTATTTGGGCTTCTTGGTAAACTTCACTGGCGAGTATTTGATAGGCTTGCAACATTTCATCATTGCGAAATCCACTAAAGAGCGCTAGCACAATGGGAGGCATTCCAACAATATTGTTTGTTGTGGTTGTGGGAGCAGCAGCAGGTGTGTATTGATCGGTCAATTTTCCGTCGGCAATACCTTCCAAGGCATCCTTCATGGCCATGGACAACACGGGATCTCGTTGCTGGTTGCTTGCTTCATCGTCCACACGAATACGGTACAACGTAATGCCTTTGCCACTGGCCAATGGCGCTCCGTCAGCCATCATGTCTTGTACCTCCTCGTTGAGCACTCCTTCCGGAATGTTGTACAGAACGACCAGCGGTCCAGGTCCATATTCTTGAGCATCTTGTGCATCGTTCAGGTTTATAAAGTCTCCCTCTTGATTGTCTTTGCCTGTCAGTCTTTCCCAGAATCCCATCTGGAGCCGTGTTGCCAAGTTTCTCGTTCGTCTGGGGAAGCTTTCATGCTGTCTGACAACGGGGGTTGTTGCGGGAGAAGTCACCAACGAAAAACCAGTGACGGTCCGATCGTGACATCCCAACAGAACAGCAGAGAGGAGGAGCAAGAGGCGACAGTTTAGAATCATCATCATCTTCGCAAGTGCCTTGGAATGTAAAGAGAGTGAGTGTAGGAAACAGATCCTGACCGAACGGGTGAAGATCGTTCTAAATAAGCCAGAAAAGCTGTAAAGGCAGAGGCTCGAGGGGGAGGTTGGGCACGCTCCTGAAGGAACAATGACGTTCAAGTTGTCCAAACCCAAGGGAAGGGGGGAATTTTTGTGTTACCAGTACAGTCTTTTCCTTCGACTTTTCGGGATTGTTGTGGTCCAGACATTGGTGTGAAGGACAGACGGGAAAGACAGTTTAATCGTCGATCTCCAACAGTTCGTCAGCGCGACAGCCGCCAGCAGCAGTAGCGCAACAACAACAACAACCGCAAGCCCAGGATTGTTGCACCCTAACAAGCCGCTACATGCAACAACGAAGAGCAGCGTCAGGTTACATCACATCAGTGGCTCCAAATCAAGTACACAAAACAAATATAGGACTGAGTATCATTAACACATCACAGTTAGCGGCCGGACAAGTCAGAGCACCATTCGAAGTACAACATGTTCTCCTGGTGTCAAGGCAGCGGTAATAAGAGCAACAAGGATGCTCTACTAATCGAGGGCACGGAAAACGATAGTGGCAAGCCCTCGCTGGCGGAAGTGCTGGCGTCGATGCAGAAAACGCTGGAAGCGATACAGCTAAAAGACGAAAGGGTGCTGGCGTCGATGCAGAAAACGCTGGAAGCGATACAGCTAAAAGACGAGATGCAGAAAACGCTGGAAGCGATACAGCTAAAAGACGAAAGGGTGCGAAAAAATTCCCTCAAAGTGACAGGGACCTATTTCGCGACCCACAGGGAGATTTGGGGGAAGAAACGGGTCAAGGTTGAGCATACCATGGGCGCCAAAGCACTGGAGTTAATCCAGAGTAGAATCAATGATTGGAGTCCTACGTTCCGCAAGCACTGCCAAATGCCTTCTAAGGAAGACATAAAAGGGGAAATTCACATACCCAGGCCAGAGTGGAGGACCGACGAAGCGAAAAGGGTATTCTTTTTTTCTCCCCAGGCCTCGTACAGCAATATCTTCTTGACACCGGCGGCCGGGAGACCAAGTGATAGTTCTCCTACGCATCGCTCTCTGGCACATTCGGCCTCCGCGAGTCCTAAGTGCTCGGTTTTCTGGACCTATTTTCTAGAGCTATTGACTGGCGAAAACAAAGTCACAATGGAAAACGAAGACGCAAAGCTACAGCGTTTCTACACAGTTCATGGTCTTTGGAATTTCAGCATGGCAGATCTTGGTGATTTCCATAACTATGAATACCAGGGACTCAAAAATTTGCCTCAGAACTTGCTGGCCTTGCCACCCGAACACGAAAAGTTTTACGATGGGACGAGAGGTGACAACCTCATTATCGTTCCCATCGTTGACTTGGACCCATCCCGCGATCCAAACGGAAATTATGGTATCAATTCCCAGTACGATCTACTTGTCATTGGGAAAACACAGGCTGTCTACAACTGGATTTACAATGGAGAAGTCCCTTCAAGTGCAAGCCCTTATTCCCTAGTGCTAGACAGATCAGTTGAAGAGGCGGTGCCGGAGGATATAGAAATTGCGAGAGCCTTCTTGGAAAAGTATGCCATTGCAGCAGCTCATCTTGGTCTCCAATCCTTGAAACCTGATCTTATCTCAACCGAAGAAACTGGATCGCGGGGAAAACCCACCTATGATGCTCTTTGGGTTTCGAAGGTAGTTGGTCAGACTGTTGCTCATAAGAAGCAACCAGAAAATCGGTCGCAGGAGTCTGCAAAATCAGCGGCTTCGGGAAAAACTGGGAAAACATCGCAGGGATCCAAGAACGATCTCCTGGTCAAAAATATAGAGAGAGCAAAAACTGCCCTGGAGAGTGTTGAAAACGACGGTGTTTGGGTGCCCACTTCACAAGCCTCTTTCGAAGATCACAAAGTTATGAAAGTCAAACTGTCCGAGTATTTGGAAACTTGTGGGCTCAAAAAGGAGCTTTACCCAGCTTGGAGCTTGCTAGGGTTCAAGGCTCTTGCCAACTTTTTGGTCTATGCCGATCAGCCATTTATTGCTGACTGCGAAACCTGGGACCCACCACGCAACGACCTCCCTGTTGCGTCCATTGAAATCAACATGGTGAGCGACCTCGAAGGTGACCTGTCCGACGATGAGGCATCTGTTTGGAACGAGTACAGCAGTGCAGACGAACGCGATGACCAGTCTAAGGAAGGTTGTGTGACCAGCCCCCTCAAGGTTTCGCCGACTGCTGCTGTCGTGACACCAGAAAAAATGAATGCAGAACAATACAGGGATGTTCGTTCTCGCGAACTAGAATTTGAATCGTGATCGCGAATTAGGAGACCGTGTGCGTCGGGGCCAGTCATTTTCGTCGGGGGCCAATCGAGTCGTGTGGGTCTAAAAGGGAACATGGCGATATTGAAAAAATGATTTGATTGATTTCCACCCCTTTGAAGCTTTGAGAAGTTGCATTTGTTTCGATGAGGTTCCGTTAGCCTTAATCTTTCTAGTTTTCTGTTTTATATTGGTTGGGTGCCGGCTAATATAACCTTGTTTTTTTTAAGTCTTCTCTCTACCGTCAAAGAACACATCATTGTCGACATACACCCCGTATGTACCGGACCTTCCGTCAATTATGCACACCATGTCATCCATTTTTTTCCGCTATTACGATGTAAATGAGATGGTGTATGAGACGATGCAATGATGTCGCTGTTGCCGTTGTTGCTAGCTGTTAACAGAAGCTGTCGTTGCTGGTCATTGCCGGTGTTGCTGCCCATGAGCTGTTAATGGAAGCTGTCGTTGCTGGTCGTTGCCGGTGCTGCTGCCCATGTTATCAATAAGCTGTTAATGGAAGCGGATTGTTATCAAGGGGGCCCACACTGAGATCCAGGAGGCCCCAATAGACGGAATAGGATGGGATCGCTCACTCGCCGCTGGGCTCACATGGGATCGCTCAGTCGCCGCTGGGCTCACACTAGTCTAAGATCCAGGAGGGGGAATGGGATAGGAAGTACCGGATAGGATAGGAGGTGGGGTAATAATGTAATCCCACCTCCATCTATCCACTGTAGGAAAACAGTACAATCCCAAAATCACTAAATATCCAAAATCGTGTCACGGATTATGAACGAGATGGATACAATGGTACTACGAAAGAAGGATTAGGAGAAGACCCAGACAGCTATTATATTAGACGGTATTACAAAAGGTTGACAGGTATGCCCAAGCGTCCCAGTTATCCCTTCTAAATGGGGGATACACTTTGCCATTCTTGAGATTGTTATATTCTTGTCTGCGTTTCATCTCTTTGATTTCCTTTTCCATTTGGATATCTTCTTGGGCCGATGCATGAAGCACTGAGATTTCCTTGGCAGGTATTTCGTAGTGGGTGTGATCTTCTTGCAACTGCCATATAAGATAGCGGTCCTTACTTAAATCTTTAAAATTAGGCATTTGATTCATGAGTACGACAACGTGCATTGGAGATAAGCGTTTCATATTCGAGTTATACTTGGAACAGAAGATCAGCTTGTTTTTAAATGCTTCTAGTGTGCTATACTGGAGGGTGTCGATTTGTTGTCTGGTGACATCAATGAACATGACAGTGGTATCTTCTGACACTGACAAGGCCATGTCTGCTTTCTTCCCGGGTTCTTGGATTTGAACATACTCGAGGATTTCGTTGCCTTCTGAATCAAACGCTTTGGTTTTGCGTTTTTTTTTGTCAAAGTACCATGCAGCAAACCAGCTCTTACCGGAATCACCGATTGGATCTACAATGAACAGAATTTGACGGTGGTAAGGTGGCGTATGTGGATCATTTTGGAGGTAGTCCAAAAGGGCATTTTGGAAAGGCCGGAGTGGAAGGTCCCTTACAAGAGCATGTTTACGATGTTTTGCGATGTACTCTTTCGAGAAGGTTCTCTGGTTGGCCAGGACAGATGAATGGAGTTCGAGGAGTTCGTCCCAATCCACTATCCCTTTTTGAACGTCTTCCTTGAAACTGTCTAGGTCGGTGCGATGTCCTTGCCTTGATTTGGGAATTTCCCCATAGAGGAAGGGTTCGGTGCCTTCAACACGAGATTCTTCTTTCGTGCAGTACTTTAGATTTTGTTCGGGGTTGCCCTTCATTAGGGATAAACGTGCACGTGGGCCTATCAACTGGACTGCTTGATTGAAACGTAAGAATCGGTGGAAGAGGACGAAACCTTGTAGGTGAGGGGTGCCGCCATCACCTACTTCCTTCTGAAAGACCAAAGTCTTTACTTCTTTATATTGAGGGCTTTCAGTGTCAGTAACCGATGTGAGGGTGTCAATGTCATTGTCGGTCCAATTGTTTACGGTGAAACACCAGCGGTAACCGCGAGATTGAGGGGTGGCGGCGGCGGGCCATGGTTGTAAATGGTAACAATCGTTGAATCCGACGAATCGTTGAATCTGTACGTCGATGCGTTGGATGGATAATGTGATCGTCGCGATGGACACAATGTGATCGTCGCGATGGATATGATGGATATAATGTGATCGTCGCGATGGGTATAATGTGATAGAATCACATTGAATCTGTACATTGATGCGTTGGATGGATGGTGTGAAGTTTTGTTTCGCCCCATATTTTTTGGTGTGGGTTTGGGGATGCGGGTTTGGGTGTGTGGCGTGCATTCTTGGTTACTTTCGTGTATGACGCGGGTTTGCTTTCGCAGTCACGCGGGAGAGACGAGTCTGGTTTTATCCGTCATGAACAAGGCGAAACCTTTACCTTCGATCGAAGAGCTAGAGCGAGTGGATGGCAAAAAAATATGAATAGAAAAAAATTAATGGTTTTTCTTGTTACGAGCTTTTATTTATTCCACTACCAATTTTTTCAGTTCTTACCATGACACTGGATTGATGTTTTGGAAGGCTCTTTTATTCCACCACCAATTTTGCACGTCTTCCCGGATGTCCAGTGGAAGTTTCCGAGACTCCTCCAAAGCCTTTACTTGATTCTTCAACTTCTTTGTCTCGATGGTGTGCATGCTGAGCGTATTGTCGCACTGATGCCGTCGTTGCTGTTCCGCGTTGTTGCTGTTCTTGCGCTTTGTTTGCTGTTGCCGTTGTTGACCCAATACGCGTTGTTGCTTAGTTTCAGTTGTTGTTGACCTAATACGCAATCCCCCTTTGTTGGTCTTGGTGCCGTCGGGCGTTTGTTGATCGATACCTAACCTGTGTGTTGCGATTTATTTGGCACGACCGGTCTGGCGCTTGGTGCAACGGTCTGTGCGACTGAACTAAGCAACAACGGTTTGGGTCAACAGTCCCCTAGGCACCTTCTTAATAAGACACAACGTCGTCGGTTCCCTCTTTACTTTCCTCCCCCACTGAAGCAACCGCTTCCCTCCCTACTGAAGCAGCCATGTCATCGACATCGTCTAATGATGAACCAATTGATGAAGAGGAAGATGACCCTGTGGTCTACAAGCACGCCATCCGTGTTCTCCCGCTCCATAAGAGAAGAGTCGATCCTCCACTCGACTATTCTTGAAAACTGCAAGCAGAGGATTCCGGCAACGCACAGCACCATCCATTTGGAGCGTCCGACAACCAAACCGGTCGGAACCCAACCCCTGAAGACGGACAGACTTTGCACGTGAGACTCAGGGATAGTTTGTTGAATACATAAGCACGCCGGTGCAATCCAAAACCGAATCGCATCAATAAAACACGGCAACAACAAAGGATTCTGGTTGAAAGAATTCACACCCGTCGCTTCACTTTCAAGAAACCGGAAAACGCAGCCCCTTCGCATTCTTCACACAAACAAACACACTAAAGCAACACAACCAAACGGTCATACTATACCTATACCATTACACACCTATTGCACCATTAGAAGACATAAACGAACGAAAGGACCAGAAGCGTTACTTATCGTTGAAATACTTTTACTATAAATCCACCCACCATCACGGAAACATCACACCTTTTTCCTCTTACAACCTCTCAAGCCGACACGATCGATACTCCCATCCACACTGCGCACCTCCCCTATAAGCGACTATCACGCCTCCCCGGTCAGATTAAAAACCACCCAATTGAAATACCTACATACGGCTTCTACTCACCGCCGACGGCCAATGGTAGAATTAGGACACAAAAGAAGCTCCGTCTCTGCGTCCAAAAGAAGAAACACAACCATTACTTTCGTCTCTCACGCGACGGCCCAAAAATCTCATTGTCGGCGCATCCTTCGAACACCGGACCAAACAAACACCATCCCAACAGACCGGTTACAACTACCAACGGCAACTGGACTCATCGAATCTTCAATCCGACCAAACGATCTAACTGCGAACACCGATCCGATCGATCCCCAATCGATCTCTCCATTTTCCGACGGATCGCACGACAGCCTCGATCATACAAGAAAGACTTCACGACATACCTGCAGTGACCACCCAGAAGAGAAATTACACCGTATTCACTCCACCGGCCACTAGGGTTTCCCCCGACCCTTGTTGGAACTGATCCTACTGATCCGCCGAACGTACCTCTTCCCGAGAAAGTACTCTTCCCGCAAATCCAAACTCGCCCTCGGATCGATCAAATCTTCCCGCGTAACGACCTCTTCCTCCGTACAAAGCTACTATCATCAAGAGGTACTTCACGAGAATACCGCAGTGACCACCGAGAAAAATTACAACCTATTCTCTTCTCACCGCCCTAGTGGTTCTCCACACTTCCTCGTTGGAACGATCCAAGAATTGACCACAAGAAGAAGTTCCCGCCTGCCACAGCACAGTACAGAAACAATTCCCATACGTCATGTGCTTCTGAACAAGCTCCTGACGCCGAAGAAATCCATTGCGCCCTCCCCTTTCGAACGATCCACCAGTCCTATACCTATACAGACTGATTGAAATCGAACACCTGTACTTCCACTCATACATGATATCTAACTCCCCTCCCAGAGGAACAACAACAACAACAAGTTCCCTTAAACTTGAGTTCTTTAACTCCAGGCTTGGCTGAATGTGCTAGTTTCACAGCCCTCCCTGGGATACCACTCCCTCTCCAAGAGTCTCTCCCCCACAAGAACAACACACAAAAGCTGCCCCTCTAGCTCTGTTGGCTAGATTGTGCAACACCTCCATTGACAACAGCCACTCTCTGCCCCTATCTTGCCACTCCTACTGAGCCTCATGAACATCCAAAGGATTTGAGCCCCAGGACAGAACTTGCAGCGTGGTGTGGCATAGGATATTAATACAAAACTGACCTATCTCTCTACCATTGATTGTTGAGTGACTTCCAGTTGACTTCCCCAGTTCCACCTGAATCGAGTACCCTCTCACATCTTGGTACTCTCTGTTGATGTCTGACCCACAACAGATTAGTACAGCCTTTGAGAAACACAGTGTCACTCAGTACAACAGCCCCATCAACCAACAACCCCCTATCCCCCCACCACTGCTCTACTGCTATACGAATATGCTCCCAGTTTTCCCTGAAAGAATCCCTAACAGCCTTTGGCATCGATACCATCTTCTCCTGCATGTAGTGTGTATCCTGCACCATACTTGGTCAAGCCTTTGATCCAGTGGTTAACAACAACCAACAACTTGAAATAACCTTGATTACACAGTGCCTCAGTGCATTGCACCCTTGAATAACCCTTCTACATCCAATACCTCTCGCCACCCACAAAGCAACCTCCACTTGCTTGAGTTAAAGCAACGACACCAGTCAACACTCCAGGATACACACCTCTCCCACCAACCCCACCACACCCAACATGACTCCCATGTCTACCCACTACTTCATCAAACCAAGGTCCTCCCAGACATTCCCCCACTCCCACACTTCACCCACACCAATCCACTCACCTCCGCAGACTTCAACAACACCCTCCACAGATGATCAGCCAACCAGCTCCTAGATCATGCAGCCATCTTGAGGATCACACCCTTCCGAATCCACACCTCTACCCATCAGGGAGGATGCCTTTTTCCACCCTGAACCAACACCCTCTCTATCCTACAACACACCATCAACCATGCTACATCCAAACCTACAACAACACTCCAAACCAACAGGACTCCCCTCCTGCCCTTGGCACCAGCCCACCTCCAAGCGCCCCCTTATCCTCCCTTCTATTGACTCAACAACCCTCGAACAGCCCACACAACTCCAGCAGCCACTTGTGCTCCCTCCTGGGAACCACACTGCCATGGTCATTGACCCCATCTCGGCCGCTGTCTTATCTAACAATTTTGTCAGGAGGTACCGCTCATTAGCTCACCCTGCCAGTGCTCCAGCCCCCTGAGGCCAGCTACACACCTCCATTTACGGGCTCACCTGTCTGCATCTTCATGCCAAATCAAGAGACCCCTTACCGAACCATTGGGCGGCTCGATCACCCACACTACGCAGCATCTTGTCACTAACTGGTCTCACGTCCACTATGGTGGGTGAATGTTTCAATCGAACAAAAATCTTTACCACACCCGGTTTGCCAGGTTCCCTCAGCTCAACCCCCGGGATTTGGGTCTGTCTGGATCTTATTGGCAAAATAGAAGACTCAGCAGGGGGGTTACCCACCATTGCCGCGTACACAAAAGCCATCTCCGTGGCCATAGTTTGTTAAACTAACGAGTAATTTACACCCTAGCAACCCGTCGCTTCAGGAATGAATCCTCCGTCCTCTGCATCCCCATCTGGCAAAAACAACAATGATCCAAACTCATGAGGAAGATTGATGGTTTCTACCGGGAATCGGGTCGCCGTGAAGGCAAGCACGCTACTGAGGAAGTTTCCTCGACGCACCAGGACCGAGAAGCCATTGCGACCGCTTGCATTTGGATGGGTACTCCTGAATTCGCTGAATTTTTCCACTTGAGCAACACCTCCTTCATGTGCACGGGCCGCGGCAGTGAAGTGTCCCTGATTAAATCGGACGCCGTAATTCCCTACGAGGTTAATGAGCTATATTATCGGTACAACGTCGTGGCAGTGGAACTCCAGCGTCAAAAGGATGGCCGTTCGACACACTCCCCATCTTTCCCCACCGCGAAGGACTCCTGGAAGATTACTATTTCAGTCTGATCCACCTCATTGTGTTATGCGGATGTAATCATGAGTATGTCCTGCCAACCTTTTCGTCGGCCGCGCTGAAGACCAAGAAGGATGGCAGTTCCAACAGCGACGTGTCGAGGGTATTCACCAAGCTGTTCGATAGGATGCTTACTGAGTTTGAAATCCTTGTCGACGATATCAATGAGAATTTGGGCAGTCATTCGAACCGGCGGGGGTCGCAACAAGCCATGACGGAGGACGCCAACCTATCGGGTTACACTCCGATATTCCGCAGTGGCCTGAAAGCGAAGAATATCCACACCGTCTTCGATTACATGTAAGTCCTTCTCCCCGGCTCCTCCAAAAAACCGTGACCTAACCGTATCTCCTCCTCCCCCTTCCCCCACTGCTCAGATTTGGATCTGCGAAGATGCAGAAGGACGCTGCAAAGAGCCTCTCCATGTGGATTACCAAGATCGGTGATACGATCATGGGCGGTCAGCCAGTGACTTTTGACGATATAGAGACCGATCCGGACACGTTGAAAAAATTCACAGACATCTTATTCGAAGACGACCTGGAAAAACGGTGGCACCCGAAGACCCGGGAGCTCCTCGTTATGACGTTGTTGTTGCGCTACGACCAGTACGTGGATATTTTGGAGTCGCACCCCTGCGCTGAGTTAGTTGACGACCTGGAACGATACCCGCACCTTGATCACCCCCTGTCTGATCCCGAGCAAGAGCATAAATGGCTTAGCTTCTCGCAGGAAGGCCAAGGCCGCTTGGCCATGTCGTCCGTGCAGGAATCGCTCTTCCTCTCTCGAATCAACCAAGCATTGGATAGAGCCTGTCGGTATTACAAGCTGGATCCGGACAACCTCTGGTCTAGTTGGTGTAAGGAGGCGAAGAAAGGATTCTTGAAGGGTTCTAACACGGTCGGCCTCCCCACGCCTGCTATCTTGCGATACGGTGGTGATGTCAATAACGTCATGATGGATAGCCGCTGTCTTATCGATCACATCAACAATGTGATCTCCATCGGCCATGTGAACAACTCCCAGCTCCTCCAAAACAAGAACAAACTCAATGATATCCATCATGCACTCACGGTCCAGACCCCACGCACGATGGACTTTCTAATTAAGAAGGTATCATACATTGAGAGCACGGTGCGGCGGCTCGAAGACGCCTTTGTTGGATCACCCCACGCACCAACCAAACCACCACCCCGTGTCCGCGCTGCCAGGTTCTCTGTCTCCAGTAAGGGCCTGCAAGCGTATAAGACTTTATCGTCACTAACCACTGCTTTCTTTGTTGAGGATTTCCCCGCGGGCTATAAGCGCGACAAAGACCATGCGGACTGGCAAAACGAAGAGTTCCAAAACCCATTGAAGAAATTGTTCTGCAAGGTCAAGCGTGCCGTCCGACTCGTCCTCCTTTTTTCCGATTCCTACCCTCAGCCCAACCTCCCTAAGGCTGCCATCAGGGGCCTCGCGGAAGCCGCGGAGAAGGAATTACGCGTTGCCCTGGGAGCGAAGGAGAATGAC